GCTTGCGGCAGACATTTGCTAACGTGTTAAGACGGCCACGATGTGGCATGCCCATAATGACAGACTCGACGCCCAACTCGGTGGACACATCAATAATTTCTTTTAAGGCTGGAATCATAATCTCACAGCCCTCCAAGCCGAAACGTTTCTCCGACGAGTACTTCTTGGCCAAAAAGGCTTCAAAGCCAGTGGCACGTGTCAAACGGGCCAAAATCAAACGCTTCTCTTCCGGCGAGAAGTTGAGGACGCCCGGCGTCTCAAAACGTTTGCGAATCCAGTTGCACTGCTCCAAAGAGTTGATAAACATAAATTCCACACCAATTTTATTGCAATAAACATTCTCCAGACGATTCAGAATTTCCCTGAAAAAATAGGATCGTGAATAACTGGATACAAGTGGGTGTGTGCCGATTGGACTTACTTGAGTGGTAAAGACGCCTCATCCCCACCAATGAATGTGGTGCTGGGCAACTTGAACTGGCGCTCCATATCTTGTTCGCCTGTTTTTTTTGTTTTGGTGTGGAGTTTGGAATTGGGATTTATAAAGGATAATACTATTAGTAATTGTGCTTGAATTGCCAAATTTCTTTTAATGATGCGATTAGTTTTTGTAGGCGTTTTTTTGAAATTCGGAGTGTAATGATTGTATATAGTCTGTAAATTGTGATCTATATATAATGTACAGATACATGCTGATCTGTCCTATATAAATATTTACATGTTTATCAAGTTCTCTGCTTGTTCTTTGTTCTTAGGATTATATATACATATATATGTATGTGTGTATCTGAATAACACCAAGGCATGCATGACATCGTATACCTTGTAAAATATTTAGACATGAATTGCTTTTGTTTTTGTTCTGTTTCGTTTATTCACTTTCTGTCACGATTTTAGCTAACAACAATAGCGATTTATTTATGCACTTAACAATTGACAACATGCAATCTAGTCGGAAAACTTAAGATGGAAAATAAAGTGGAGAAAAAATAGTTTTGCATGATAACAATGAAAGTAATTAATGAGACTTTACTGAGCCATATATAAGTTGAAGTATAAATAATTAATTTATATTGGATATTTACTTGGTTCTAGAAATCGGGGAGTTTGGTTTTTTTTAATTTGAGTTGTTTTTTTTTTTGATTGTGTGCATGAAAGGTACAAAATGAAAGGGTTTACTATAGGTACACAAGACAACGTTGTATTGGCAGGTTTTATATACATATATATAGTACGAAAAAAAGGAACAAAACACAAGTTAAGAAATCAAAAGGACAATGATTTGTTTTGTTTTTATCTGTTGTGTGTAGCGTGTGTATTGTTGAGGGGGCGGAGTAGGCGTATTAAGGACGCGTTCCGCCTATTATTTCTTTTTTTATTCTATTTTTTATTAAGCCTCTAAAGCCTTACTTACCAAAACTGAAATTAGCGTAAATGGATTTCGTCGAGCTGTTGCCAGGTAAATCTGGTGTATTAATTTCGAGTGGATCAAGGTGAGCAATATTATGTCCTCGAATCTAACGTGTGTCAGTATACATTTTGATTGTGTGTGTTTTACAGGGTATTATTTAAATATTTTGTGTATGTCGAAGTTGTTGTTTAATTTGCACATTACACACATAGTTCAAGAGAGAGAAAGAATTTTGAATTTGTTTTAACGTTTGTTTTGTTTTTTTTTTATAGACGAATAGACGAATTGCGTTCGATTGCAGTTTTTATATATCGTATATATATATATAGCATTTTTGTATTTTTTTGGGCGGGTTAGAAAGCAGTTAAAAATAAATGAAATGAAAAAAAATATAAGAAAAATTAATAAATTGTATATAGCATAAACGAAAAACAAAAAGAAAGAAAACATAAACAAATAAATAGTAGACAGAAAACAAAGAAGCAGATTTAAAGCGTAGCAGGAAATGATTCTTTGTTCTTAGTTACATTTGGGCAGTAAAGACTCGATTATATAACGTTTAAAAGCGCAGTGAGCAACGAAATTCTATGGAGTGCACTAGGACAACAGATAGATATATAGATAAAGATAACTGCAAGAATAAAAGCCAAAACACCGACGTAGTTACATACACTTACACTTATGTAGAACGTATTTCGACTATATATAGAGAGAGAGACAACTGACTTAATTTAAGATCTATTATAAAGATTGGTACGAGTTCACTATGCCCTGCCTACGTGCCTTTCATCAACTCCGAATTTCATGTAATATTTAAGTATATTAACGAATGGGTTAAGTAGACTTCAAAGCGTGTTGTGTGTAAATGATATTGGATGGGTGCAACTGAGGGGCGTGGAGTGGGTGTCTATGTTAGAGATTGTTTTTTTATAGATTTTTGCAAAAAAGAATTTACCAAACAAAAACCCAGAGTGCTGCCTGAGCACATCCTCATTAGCGCGACGTGCAAGACCATCCTTGCAAACGGTTTTTTCGCGTGTTAAAATTCCAAGCGGATCCAGATCAGATGCCAAATGACCACGTGACTATATATATATAGTATATAGTATATACATATGCATATATTCATATGCATACATACATTTATAATTTGATTATACACAGATATGTAGAGTTTAAAATGGTTATTATGTTGTTCTGTACTCAACTAACTACCCATCAATATAAGAAAAATATATGTTTAAGGAAAATCAAATGTGGTGCATAAGAAGGAAATAAAGCCAAGTGAATACCATATCAGAGATCTGAGCAACCTGTAGTAACTGTGCTAAATCAATGACAAAGAACATAAAAGTTTAACTCCTAACATCAACTAATTATGAACGTAGATAAGTTATAACAAAGATGGAACTACGTTTGATGCCCAACGTTTCATGTGCTGCAACTTTCCAAACAAACTAATTACACATATAAAAGAAGAAAACTACTGGGAATGTAAACAATAATCGCATAATGGAGGGGTATTTAGGGCGTAGGGAAGGGTTGGGGGAGTAACACAAAAAGTTCTCAAGCTACTTGTATGCGGGTGTGCGAGTGTATGTGATTCTGCTTTTGATGAAACACAGAAAACTGGTCCAGAATGTGTGGTCGGGCAGCTCTAATAAAAACCATAAGCATAAACATTAAATAGAAACCTAAATGTAAATCATAAGAGAACAACAAAATGTACATGAAACAAAAGGAAACGAAAAGCGCCAACAAATAGATACGCTTTGCTCTGCAATCTCAACTGTTCAACTCTATTATAGGGGACAGCGACAGTACTATGGACCCAGCGCAATCATACCTGGTAGCTCCTAATGATGGCCTGCACGGCCAAATGGTCATCGATGGTCTTGGAGTCGGGCGCAGCGCTGACAGCACCACCAAAATTAAAAGCCGTCAACGGCAACGTGTTTGCCTGTACGGGCGCCAAATTGGGCGGGCTCACGTACGAGTTACTGCGAAAGTAAGCATCCCAGGACTGAAACAGGAAACAAATGCAAATGTTGTAATTAAAGTATATATAGAAATGTATACAGGTAGTCATAAAGGTGTTCAATGACTCGAGCGTTACAAAAAAAACATGTTTCTCTTTAAATTCACTTTTTATGAGCTGTTTTTCGAATGAATTTACGCTTCAGTAAATTTAAAAATGCAATGTTTTAATTATTTCACATTACAGCTTCAAGCAAACGAGTTTTTTTCTGCATATAATGTATAAAAGTACAAATTAGAAGTATTGCTAATTGGCTCAGCTTGCTCTTGCTTTGCACTTAGTTTATAAAATCTTAAGGGCTCTACAACTCATTATTAAGTACAACTGCCTGAAATTTTATTTAGTGAAACAAGGAAACATGCCTAATTTACGTCCCAAGGCAGTTTCTAAGTTGAACTTGCCACTTACAGTATGCACTGAGCTGGGATCACGCAGCCAGGCGTTGTACATCTCCTCCACGTAGGACGCGGTGCTGCCATTGGCAAAAGGTTCCGCTGCCGCTGAATTATAGGTGCGCACAGCAGATGCTGCGCTGGCCCTGATCAGCTGTTAAATAATCAAATGATTAGATTTATATTCGAATATTAATTTATTCGCTTACCTTCTGACTGCTGTTGCTGTTTAACAGCCATGTGGCAAAGTTTTTATGCGCCATGGGCGATAACGCCAGACTAAAGGCCGTGTGTGCTCTATGCATTTTGTGGCTTTACAAAATATAACTGCGAGAGGAAATAGAAATAATAATAGAGTATATTAATAGACTGTTACACGCAATAGGCCTAAGAGCATGACACTGGCTTTATTGATAAGGCAATTACAGCAACAGCTTTCAATTAGGCTCCACTGAAAGCTTGTTTGTTGACAAATATCTATTGTAAGAATTGTTGCTGTTGCTATTGTTGTTGTTGTGTTTGCCCAAGTGCTTTGCAGTCAATGCAGCCGACACTAGACGTATTTTGTAAGCCTGATAAGATAGTGCACAAGTGACAAATATGTATATAATGCCAACATGTATGTTTGACTTTGACGTCATTTGACGCCAAAAAACGCAAAACGCAAAACTTGTTGCCAACTAATGGCGGTTACGAAAGAGAAAACAAGTTAACGAAGTCTATGATTAATGCAGATACATACATATGTGCATGTAAATGTATGAGATAAGTCTAGACTGTTGACCAGACCAGGGTTATAGCTATAGCTCTCTTTCCCTATCTCTCTCTCTCTCTCTCGTTCTCTCGGGCAGACACGTGACCCACTGTTGGCTGCTGATGACGTTTCAATAGGAAGACGTGGGTTGCTCGACGTTCGCTATGTTTGCTTTCGCCGTTTTGAAAGATAGCCAAAAAAAGTCATTTGCACTGTGGTGAAATGTTGTACATTTGTATAAGAGATATAAACATATACATAGGTGTATAAATTTATTTTTCTTTTTGGCTTGTTTCGTTTTCTTCTGTTTTTCAGATTTGTGTGCTGCGCAATTGTCAGCCTGACTTTGATAATTTAGTGAAACAACAATCGTATATCATTTGCTTTATGTGTCTGGCCTGGTTAAAACGAAATCGGATAAGATTAACAATATCAACCAGCCCCCAGACGTTATCTAAAGCCAAGTAGGAGAAAATGCGTCAAACAAAAACGTTTTCTGCACTCGCATTTGCAAATGTCTAAATTAATTAATGAAATTCTTTTTCGAGACCTGATAAGCAGGGCCAGGCGCGCGCGATTGTCGTGGCAAGGCACGACAGTCAGGTCACATGCGCTTATCAGCGACGCGTGGTTTGCTTGGACTCTAAGCTCGAGTTCGGTGTCTGGGCAAGAAGCATGATTTAGATCATTGATCAGTCCCTCGAATTTGACAGCTATTACCACAGACACACACACACGCGTTATGTGGGTTAAATTCAGTGCAGTACATATGTATGTGTAAACCGGTTTAGTGTGACGGTCACCAAACGCTCACATAAGCGCTCAAGAGGTATTTGAAAGTGCAGCAACGCAAACGGAATCAATTGTAATTAGTTTGCCAGTGAGTAGCTACATCTCTTTCTATCCTTAGCTTTTGCTATGTGTGTTTTTGCATAAGTTTGAATGCCGTTATTTATCTGTTTGCTTATTTTGCTTTATTTTTCACACACAAACTGTTTTTTTTTTTCGTTTTCGTTTTCTTTGCAATTCCTTTTTCTGTCCCACAAACAACGTCGACGTCGACGCTGACGCTTCGGTTACGAAAACCGATTACATAAGTGCAAAAACTCGCGTGAGAGACAGCTATATAGAATACTGTCATATTTTATAATGATAGCGTAACAATATATATATATGTATATATATTTACTGCTAATTAAGATTTTTTATATATAGAAATATATATTTTTTATGCTTTAATGGCACTTTAATGCTACATTTCCGATTGGCAATTGCCCTACCACTTTTATTTTACAATTAATAGGGGTACTGAGCTCCTAAATATGCGTAACTGACAAAAACTTTGCTATTGGTATGAAAAACGAACGAAATGTATAGATATTTACTCGTCACGTCGTATCTGAGAGATACGCTGCCAAACGGTATGTTCGTGTTGAGTGCTACGCGTCGACTGAACGTTACGGCGCAGAACAGCCGAAAGATTACCCAGACCCCGAACCGTATGCAGCGATGAGAGTAGAAAACAACACTCAAAAATTTTTGTAGAAAACGAATTTTGTTGTTTCGTTTACGTTGGAACGAAGTGTTAGAAAAACAAAATCAGCGATAAAAAGGCACATGACAGCGCAAAAACCGACTTAGCTAGATATAGATAAAACATATATTTATTCAGATATATACATATATAATGTATGTGTGTGGGTGGGTGTGTAAAAGGGGCCAAGCGCACACTGATAACAATCACTTATCGTATTTCTATGCGCTTATCGTCAAACTAACAGATCTATATATATATACATGTTTATATGTCTGTGTGTTTAGGTTCAATTTCAACAAAAGATTTTGTTTACAGTCATTTCAAAGTCCGCTCTGAATTCGATAATGTTCGTCATCCTTTGAAATGAGCCGCCTAAGCAAAGAGTGTGAAAGAAAGAGAGGAGGTGAGACACAGCGCAAGAAACTCATGATATTTATGCAGGTATATTACTCAACACTGATTAAGCTATAGAGGAATACAGATGTGCGCTTAACTTGCTAATCTATACAAATTTCAAGTTCAAACACGCGCATTTTGCCAGCTGTTTTTGTTGAAAATAGGCAAACTAATTTCATTTAGCCATGACACAAACCAGATGGTCCGACCAATTGCAGCTGCAAGTGGAGAATAGACGAGCCCCCAAACTTATATTTGGAGACTACAATCGCACATGCAAGAACAACTTCAGTTGAAAGTGGACGACTCCGTCACACACACGTACACATGCTAGCATTTGTAGTTTGGAAGACCGCGTGCGTTCATTGAGTAACAGCAAATAGAGCTGAGTCTGTGACTTGGCCGTGACTGATCACGCTACCTGTTGCTAATATTTACAGTGACAGCCAATAGTCAATCCATTTCAGTGTTGCGCATCTCCAAGTTCTGAACACAAAATAACGGAACGACAAAGAACAAGAACAACAACAGCGTAGCAGCAAGAAGTACTACTAGTAATGCTTAAAGCATGGTGATTCACGGGCACAAAAAGCACACGCGGCAGTCAGCGACTTGACTAACGCAAAATTGCGTCATCATTGCAATATTCACAGACGACATTTAATAAAACATGTGACGTAGAAAGTCCGGCAGTAGAAGCAATTGAGAAATTTCACTTTTTCTATATTTAAGAAAGCGCACGCGCACTAAACAAACGCCCACTTGCATTATATAAGCCCTTTATATTGAGGGCCAAGGAAAACAATTAAAGTTGCAACATTGCACTTGTAATTAAGTTTTTTTCAATTCCAATTCACCGTTTTAAGTCTTGCTGCAAATTTGTAGCTAATAATGCTGTTTTAGTCGCACTGTTATTCCACGAATCTGACCTCAATTGGAAGATGGCCTAATTTGGATTTCAATTGATAAGTATTGGCGCTATCTACTTTAAAGGGAATAGTAACAGAACTTCATCGAAGTTTTGTTTTTTGTGTTACAATAAATATTTGCACTTTTTTATAAAATGTAATCATTACTTTTTCGTACAATCCAGCTCCGAACAAATCACGTTCCAACTCGCGGCCCTATGTGACCGAATTCAGAAAATGGCATTATACCAAATGCAAAAATATCGATTTAATACTAGAAAAACGGCCACCTTATTTAAGATTCAATCACTTGGCGCGACGCTTTTAAATTCTACACATAACTTATATTATTTAGAATATATTGCGCGGAATCGATTGAAAAATATATAATATTGAATTTTTAAAAATTTGTATGCTATTTTCTAGATATTGCAAAGTAAAAGACTGAATATGAAAACGCTTTTCAGTAGCGCTCTCTGAACTCATCTTTATAATAACAATGCTTCCAAAAATTTATAATAGATGACGCCGAACATAGCTTCCAAAAACTTATAATAGATGGCGCATGCATATAGAGGTCTACTTTTAGTCAGCATTTTGATTAAATAGAATACGGTGATGTTTTATTAATAATGTTATATTAATATATAATATACGTATCTATATATTAACACAAGTTAATGCAGCTGCCAGCAATTTACAACAGATGGCACTAGCAGACGTAAGACTTTAAAATTGTCTTAGACGTAAGACTATAAATTGTCGTCGATCTGCTGTAAGTGTTACACATCCTTTTTTGAAGAAACAATAAATAATTATGTTTTATTAATGCGTGCTGAACTTATGTTATAAATGAAGTAACAATATATGCGCATTTTATTGTATGGCACATTAAAGCACGGCAGATGTCGGAGTTGCATTCTCTCTTTATAGCTTGCAATAATATGCAATAGATGACGCTAACGAAAATTAGATAATCTTTAAGTTAACCTAAGAAACCCTATTAAACGAACCATCATTTAATTATGCTAATTTTTCAAATGTCTACTTAATATCTGCTATATTGATCCAGGCAATATCCTGTAATCTGATCCGATATGCAGTCAAAGACATCAAATGCCAAATCGCAGCTTTCGCCTTTCTGTGGCAGGTCGCGTCGACTCACTTGATATTTATTGGTCATGGCCCGCAGACAGAGATTAACGGACCGCAATGTGGCCATAAAAAAGCCGTGCTCGTGCACACCTTCCGAGTAAAAGCCAACCAGGCCGTCCAGCGTTGGCCAGCCGTTCTTGTCAATGGCGTTGTTCCGCGCATAGACGCAGTGCAGCAGACACTGAGAGAAAATTGCAAAAAAACAATCAAAAATTTATTCGTAAGCCGCATTCAATTTGCTGATGCATAAAAAGCAGCTAATGTGTATTAAATGCAAACATAAAATCCAATTTTCAGTCATCAAATTTAGCGTGCGGTGTGAGAACAAAAACTTGCAACGACTTCAACTGAAACGGCAACTGCAACGTCAACGGCGACGACAACGACGAGAGGCAAAGGCTGCAACTGCGCTTTTCTTTCAATTGTCTAGCTACAGTAGTAGCCCTGACTTTTATACACTGTTCATAAGCTGAAGGAAAGTATATTGGTTCTTGGGAATTATGGATTTGAAATCAACTTTAGCCTCACTTAGCTACACTCTAGAATAATGTTCCCACTAGAATTTGATCTTAGCCCCTTTCCAATGACCAACTCACTTCTCATAAGCCCTCTCTAAGCAGTGCATTAAACAGTTGCTTATACCCGTTTGCCAAATTCTTACATGCTTTTAATTGCACACGGCAAATCAATGGCAAGCAGCGTTGGTTGCACTTCGTCTGTTCTGCCATTGAACTTAATTGCCGTAATGCAAAAATCTTTTGGAGGCAATGAAAAGTGTAAGCCGAAGTACTTACGCCCGCTATGCGTTTATCTTCGAGTGGCACCAGCGTGGGATGATAGATGCCCGCACTCGCCACATCCAGACGCTTGAGGCTGCGCACGAGCCGAGCCATGCGACGTCGGGGCTCTGGCTCATCGTAGACGATGTATTCGTAGCGGCTGCCATTGGGTGCCATTGGTGGCGCCTCTTGTGCGTTGTGTTGTAACTGTATTTCGCTGTGGACGGGCGGCCAGTCAATCGATTCAATGAACTCCACGCTGTCATTGTCAGTATTCAATGGGGGCTGCACCTGTGACACCTGCTCCTTGAGTATCTCATAGGCCTCTATCGAAGTGCGTTTCATATCAATCAAAGACATCTCCACTCATCAGCTCCAACACCTACCTGTGACAAGCTTGTTCTTGACCTCCTCTTGGCAATCTCTGATCACCGATTCCACTCGCCTGGCCGTGCGTGGAGGATTCAAGCAGCGCGCCTTCTTCGCCTCATAGCGTATCACGAATTCCAAAGACGTAATGGATGCTATAACGCTTAACATATGCAAAAGTTGTGCAATTTTCATGGTGCTTTGATTGATGCGCTCTAATCGAACTGAACGCCTCGGCTACTCACTGTCTATTGACTAGCAGGCAACATTTTCAAACGAAAACGAAAGCATTTTCACTTTCCAAAGAAATGACAGGATTGCCGGCTGATGGCCTTCCTCTCAATAGCTGTTGCTGGCAGTGAAAACGCGTATGAATTTCCAGTTTTGCTCTATGGGTATGTGGTTCAATGGCAATAACTGCAACAACAAGTGCAACTGCAACTGCAACTGCAGCTGGTTGCACATTTCCCATGCGTGCAATTGCCTCCAAATGTTTCATTCAGTCAGTCAACAACTTGTCCTTAACGTTGCACAGCGGCGTCGTCGTCGCTTGTTTCATTTCCATTGTCTCAACAATCAACTGTTCATATTAAATTTCAATTCCACATGGTTGCGGCCATTGCTGCTCCATTTGACTGCACAAATGGTCGATAGATGGAGCCAAAACTCTTCCGCATTGTAAAAATTAGCATATTCAACTAGAGTAAACGGAATTTGTACTAAACTCTAATCAAGATATGAGTTCATACGCGGCAGTCATAAAGCACACACACACAGACACATTTGGACAGCTTGTGGGTCAGTAAATCATGAGCAGCGAAGCAAGATGGCAAGCTTGTGTCTTAAGTCATTCGTTCTAACTGCGCCCTCCGCCCAAAGTTCTAATCAAAATGTTTGACATATTTTGCTGCTGCTCTTTGTAAGACAGAGAACAATGGCCAATAACTAGTTTTAGCATCGGCACTCGCTAATTGGACTCATTAAAAAGGTTGGAAAACCATTTTTTTTGGACACATCCTAGGCGGAAATTGTGACTACAGCCGCACAGTGGAGCTCTTTGTATTTGCCAAATATTATACGATTTATTTCCCTAAAATTTACGAGAAGCTCAATTTGAACTCTCGCACAGACTGACTAACAAATTTTAGTTGTTTCGAGCATTGGCTCCACTGTGCGAGTATTTGAACTATAGCGCAGCTAGACTCTTCCTGCCCTGGCCAAGGCGTAATTGCCTTTAATTGCAACAAGACGAAAACAAAATTGCAGCTAAGACACTGACCTAGACTCCGTAGCGCTGCAAAATTTATAATGGCCAAAGATGATGGAGGCTGCACGAGTGGGCGTGGCACACTGCAAATTGCCCACTGCCCACCGCCAGCAGGTTCAATGCACAGGAAATGCTTGTGGCATAGATCACGTGCAACAGAAGAAATTGTCAACGAACAGGAAGACAAGGCACGACACAACAACAGCAGTAGAACTAATTGACAGACAGCTGAGCACGACTATTTATTTTCTTTTTTGCCAGTCTTCTCCTGTTCTGCAATTTACTGAACAAGGCGCACTCGAAACATTGTTGGCCAAGCTAGAAGCATGCGGCTTGCAGCTTGCAGCTTGCAGCTAGCAGAACAATCCACTTGCGTGTCCATCATTAGAACAAATTCTCTCACCTGCAATGTCTCTCCTCACTTGCTCTTCGCTCTCCTCTCCCACCTCTGGCTGTTTGTCTTGTAACGCAATTTGCACACAAATGTTGTTTCATCTTCGTGGCTTGCCACTTTTGTGGGTGGGTGGTCAGGTGAGACAAGTGGCAGCTGCTGGTGCTGCTGCTGCTGCTGCTACGGCTACGGCTACTGCTGCTGTTGCTGCTGCCGAGTTGAGCTTAGCTGAATCGCTGGCCACCGTTGGCTGCCTCGCCTGAGAATCGTATTTAAATACAAAGATCTAACGCTCTGGCGCATTCAGTCGCCAACCGTCGCGTTGTTCTTGTCGCTGCCTTTCGTGCTTCCATTATACAGCCTTACCTCAGTTATACCTGTACCAGTGTCGCTGCATCTCTGTGTCTGTGTGTGTGCGTGAGTGTGCAGGATGCGCGTCTAATTGGCCTTTCAATTTGTTTAGCCCAGCTGCAAGCGATTTGAATTGTAAAATTTATGGAAATGTTGCGTCTGCTCTGGCTTTTATGCGCTGCATTTGGCCATCTCAGTGATCCTGTCTTAGCCGAAATCGAATATAATACCATCAATGCCGATGGATCGTTTCAATTTCGGTATAGCAAAAAAGTTATTAATCGTGAACCGAATGTTAAGATAATTGTTAAGAAAGTATTATCAGAAAGAGTACAAATATTAGGATAGTATATGAAAATTTCTAATAACTCTACCAAGTGATAAATTGAAGACATTTGATTGACGTTGAGACAAAATTTATGATTGAACATATATGTTAACTGTGCTACATAAGTTGTATGAACATCAGCTTACAGCTGCATTAAAAAATCAGTTTTTGACCTAAGGAAATAGTTTAATTGACATTTAACTTAAAATTTAAATGAAGTATTTTAAAAAATTCATAAGAATATATTAATAATAGAAATATTAAATTTTTATATAAGCTTAAGAAAATATTAAGTTTATATGTTAATAAGACTTTCTAGAAGTGTTGACAATGCCTAGAGTGACAAATGAAAAGACGAAAATAAGAAGTTAGGGAAGCTTCAGCTTTGATTGATTATTTTATTCGCACACAAATGAAGAGCCAATATTAGTTTTCAACTGTCAGTTTTTCCATTCAACTACCTGTCTCTCAATATATACATATCTAACCAGAATCCAATTACTATATACTATATTAATAATTCAGTTCCTATGCACATTTAGCTAAGGCATTAATCATGTAGCTATTGCTTTTCATCAAAAATCATTTAATTTATAATTTTTTACACCTTAGCTCAGGTAAAGTTCGTATCACGCTCTGGCTCCTTTTGCTAGCTTTAACACCTCTTTTAATGCCATTTTGCAATGGCAACAATACGTCTAAGCTGACTAACTGTTTACTGTGTATTATTCTACCTCTCTCTCTCTCTCTATCTGTCTCTCTTTCGGTCTTACCACGCATGGGCAACACACGCAATTACTGTTTTGGATAGACATGCAAATGATGACATTGGCGGCTACTATCACAGCGCCTCCGGCACTCCAGACAACATCGTGCGAGGTCGTTATGGTTCACGTAGTCCAGCGAGCGGGCAGATCGAAGAGACCGTCTATACAGCCGGACCACGTGGGTGAGTAAGCCGAACACACAAAGCAGAAGAAGATGAAGAAGTAGGAGGTGGCTAGCAGTTGGCTAAATTAAAGTGTGGTAGCCAAGTTAAGTTATCTGTTCGGTCTCATATATCAGCAATACGACAGGTGCGAGCGTCCGTAGCGCCACTGAAGCGTGCCAAGGCGCCAAGGGGGCTTCACACTCAAAGTCGGTTCTAAAAACATTTGAGATGGCCATAGATGGTGGCTAGGGGAAGTACAAACAGTAAAAACATTCAACTGTTGCTGTTTCGGTTGCCTAAACGTTTGTTGTTGCCTTTGTTCGATACAATTTTCAACTGTTTTGTGGCAATCTCCGGTAGTTGGGAAAACAAACATACAAAAAAGAAGAGGAAGCTAACCACAAGTAGCCGACTGCCTAATACACGCTCATGGTTCATATACAGTCGGGTATATAGTTTAGTACTCGTGTATATGTGGAGGAGGTTACCAGGATGCTCGTCACACGTAGACTTATATACAGACATACAAAGCTTGCCCAAAAACCAATATACTCTCTGCTCGCTTGCTGAACGAGTATGAGAAAAAAAACTGTTAACAAATTGTAAGTCAAACATGGAAATCGGAAAATTCATTAAGATGCACAGCAGAAAGATAAAAAGTAGAATGGAAATTGGTAGAGAATACTCGACTGACTAGGCATGTGGTAATAGCAGACGTCATCAATTTGATTGCCGCGATTATCAGATAGCATTCAGAATTGTTACTGCTTATGGGAGCAGGCGAGCGATTTTGGCAGTCAGCCTGGTCGTTACCCAATCTGGCATCTTGATTCCCAGTGCAATTAGCTAATCATAGCTCAGCAGCTAATTGAACGTCAAACTTTTCACAGCTTTCGCGTGAATGGACCGAAAATACATCGTAAAATGGACTTGGCACAGTATCCGGTGCTTCCACGTGGCAGTCCCGATGATCCCCTAGCCGATCCCTACGACGATCCCTCCTACAGCTTTAGCTATCGCACGCCGGATCAATCGCGCAGCGAGGAGAATGATGCCAACAATAGAATAAGAGGTGGGTAGACAGATGTGCCTCCATTGGCTGAAGAAGAGCTGCTCATCAACAGCTTCATCTGTTCATCCAGGTCTCTACTCCTATCTGGATGATGTGGGCGAGCGGCACAGCGTGCGTTATGCTGCTGGCGCTGGAACGGGCTTTGAGATTTCCAATGCTGTGCCCGATAATCCCGTTAGTGTCAGCTACTCCAGTCCGTTGTACAAGGCGCATCCCAAGACCCGCGGTAAGATGTCCGTGCAACGTGGTCCTGGGGGCACCTACAAGCTGATTGCAGCTGGCCCGGATCATCGACGGGCCGAGAGTCGCGCCCCGGACGGACTGGTGCGAGGCACCTACTCCTTCCTTGACGACAAGGGTGTGCAGCGCACAGTGGAGTATATTGCTGGGGCGGGCATTGGCTATAGAGTGGTGAACAATAGAGTGGGACCTGGTACCCACATAAATCCATCCGTGGCGGACTTTCGGTTGAGCGATACGGACTTCCGATTGGCAAATGATTTTGGTCGGGGAGCGGGCGGGAAATTGGGCATAGGCAGCGCTAGTGGCAGCAGTGCTGGTGGCAGTGGCACTGGTGTCAGCAGTGTTGGAGGTTCAGGATCAAGTGGAACTAGCGGGCCAAGTGGGGGCGGTGCAGGCAGAGGACGAGCAGGCGGCAGTGGAACTGATACAGATTACCTAAAGAATGGGGAAAAAATTGATGTGAGAGTAACTGGAAATGCTTTAGATAAAGCTGGCAATGAGATTGAACTGAGCAGCGGCTCCAGCGGGTCCGCAACTGCAGATGGAGCTAAGGCTGATCGAAGAGGATATGCAGCAGGCAGCTCGCAAAGAGGCAGCACCAGATATGATGGAGGTGGCGGAAGTGGAGGGGGAGGCGGAGGTGGAAGTAGATATGATGGAGGAGGTGGTAGAGGTGGAGGTGGAAGTGGTGTTGGTGGTGGTGGTGGAGGTGGTGGATACAGAGAGAGTAGCTCATCGGGCAGCAGAAATCGAGGCTCTGCTACCACCAGCACGAGTCGTCTCAATGCAAGTGGATCAAGAAATCGCAATAGGTTTAGTGGAGGTGGCGGTGGTGGAGGCGTAGGCGGGGGTATAGGTGGCTCAGCGTCCGGTGAGGGCATTGGCGCGGGTACAGGCAGTGCAGCTAGTGGACCGGATGACAATTACAACCTGAATGATGACGATGTGGGTGGCTCCCTGCCCCCGCTGGTGACCACCAATCATCGCATACTGGAAATCGATCGGGATCGAGAGTGGGTGCAGCGACATCGCGACTCGACAATCATTAGGAATGTGGGCAAATGGTATGTGGGCCTGCCACCCGGTCAAAGTGTCCGAGCCCATGTGCAGAACATAGACATTTTACCGCTCGGCGGGCGCATCACATTGTCACCGTCGGAGGCACTGCGCCAGGACGAGATGGCCGAGCTGGCCGCCTCCAGGGAGCACTAGATGGCAATAACTAGACGTAGTTTGATAGCTAATAGTTGATAGTTAAGTAAGTGCTCGCAACTAGTATAAGTAACTGAAACGATGTCAACTGTGGTTGCGCGTGGTTTCAGCTGTAACTGTAACACTATTTATGCTAAATACATAATACATTTGTGCGCGTATATACGCAGTGGTTGCAGATTGTGGTTGCTGTGCAGCGCAGTTAGTGCGGCTATATATAAGCCAGCCAGCCGTTGTCTTCACTTTCAGTCTTTAGAATGAGCCGCCGATTGTTGCATCTGTTGCATCTGTTGCATTTGCTCTGCCTGTGCTGCTGGCCGTGCCTGGTGCAAGGCGCACAGGTTTACATGGAGTTGAATGGCCAGAGCTACGCTTACAACACGGACGATGCTGTGCAAACAAATGATCTGTCACCTAACTACGAGATACCACACTACCACCAGCAGCAGCATCAGAAACTACATCAATCCCAGCACTGGCCATATGCCAGCGCTCAGTCTTTATCCCGGAATGCCAAGTGGGGCTGGCTACAGCCTGCAGCAGCACCGCCGTCAGCGCCTCCACCAGCACCTCGGCAGCCACAGAATATTGATTTTAGCACTCAACACATGTCGCACAGCCAACACACGGATGACTCTGGCATTGTGCTGGGCAAATATTCATACTACGATGATGCGGGCTATCACGAGTTGAGCTACAAGGCGGGCCCTGGCATTGGATTCGTGGTCATGGGCGGCAATTTGGCCAAGCCAACGGAACAAACAGCCAACAACTTGCGTAGCTATTGATATATGTGTATATAGATAGTCCCTAGACAAATAAAATCAAATGCAGTTTGACAATTTCCTGAACTTGACTTAACGCCAGCCATAAAGGCCTCTCTGCTGAAGCGAACCTAGCGCCGTTACGTGCATTGGCAACTTAACTAAAGTAATATACTTGACTTTAGTTTGTTTTCAAATAACATTTTATGCTCACTGAAGGTAATTCTTTATGCTTAGTATGGGACTCGATTGTAAACAAAAAGTTTGACGGACATTAAAATGGGATTTGTATTTTGAGAGAGCAAAAAAGAGAGAGAGAGAGAGGCAGAGAGAGGGAGGGAGAAACAGAGAAAGAGAGTGGAAGAGGGACACAGGGACAAAGAGAGATAGAGAGAGATTAAGATAGAGAGAAGAGAGATAGAAATAAGAAGGAAAGATAAAGTGAGTGAGAGAGAGACAAAGAGAGAGAGAGAAAGAGGATAAAAGAGAAAGAATTATTGTTAATAGGATATTCTAGATTTTCACAAAATAAAATGAAAATCAATTCAGGTAAGTTTCTTCTTTTTGCCAAGACTTGTTTCCTTTATAAACTATAAGATCTGTGCATCATATGCTTCACAATGTCCACTTCTGTGCCTCACAGTTAGCTGAACAATTTAACTGTATATATGCCGACAATTGCTGCATAAATCTAATTTATACAAATGCGAATAAATGTGGCGCGTGCTTTGTGGCCATAAACCGAACGATTTATGTATTTTATAATGCCTAATTGATTTGCGGAACAGTTAGTAGTTGTTGCTGTTGGACACCCAAAATATAAACGGTTAAACAATTACCGAATTTGTCAACCAAATAAAGTTGAGTTTTGTTCGGTGTTTTATTTATTTTTTTTGGGTATTTCTGATGTGGAGGGAGCGCGCGCGTTGAAAATTTGAAATGGGCTGCGTGCTCGACTTGCCAAATAATTTGAATTGAACGTCAAGCCTTGGCGACAGCCGCGTGGCCTAAATAAGAAAACAGTGCAAAGTACTTAAAAAAAAAGAAAAGAAAAACGAAAATAAAAACAAAATTTAACTAAAAACAAGTACGAATGCTAAGAGATACCCTAAGTGAGGTGTCGAGCCCTTTAAGAATGTTTCTCTTAGTGTTTGAGGAAGTTGTTGAAAGTGTAATAGTAGACCTTAGGAGAAAATCTGTGGACGGTGTCCACTATGGACAGGCAGATGGACAAAGCTAGCTAGACTCGACTGTTAATCCTCGGCATAGTTTATTGTTTCAGGCACGTCTCCTTCTGCCCGTTACATACAGCTTACTCCAAACAATATACCCACTTTACCCATTTTTAATGAGTTTAGGATATAAAAAAATAGTAAAAATAAAAAGCAACAACACGTTAAAACTTTGGCTAATAAATAATAAGTTTATGGTTTTTGTTTTTTGTTTTTAGCAAAATTATTCAAATGATTGAGGCAACCTTTTTTTGGGCTTTTCATGGCTAAGTTTCACTGTGACCATAAAATGTTTTGTTTTGACTATTAAATTGAAGTTAAGAAGTTTTCGTGAAGAAGAAGAGCGTCTGGACAACTTTCTATTAGACTGGATTTTATTTTTCAGTACAGCGAAATAAAAAACAACTTTGACACGAATTGAAAGCATTTTAGAGTCAAGTTCTCAGCTGTAGAAGAGAATAGAGACTGTTTTGCCTTGGCCTGGGAACTGAGCTGAGCCTACGCTGTGGCTGCATAATTGTGTTGGCATAATTGCATTCTGTAATGCCCTGCATTAACTATTTTATTATAGAGCGCGGAAGACAATGCCAGAGCACTAGAGAGATAGAGAGAGAGAGCGAGAGGGCGAGAGAGAGAGATCCAGTTATGTGGCTTAAACAACGGTTTCTACACTGGAGTCTGTGCGATTCTTGATTCCTTGCTTGATGCACCCAGCGAAGGTCGCATTTAACTGTCCAGCCAAAGCCAGCCCCAGTTCCGCTTCTCCGGCTTGTTGTATGTGTTTATATATATATATATATATATAAATAGGTTTCAAGGCTATTGCATATAGTTGAACTCTTTGGCGCATGCCAGTCCCATCTGTATTATTATTGTTGTTGCTGCTGCTGCTTCGGCTGCATCGATTTGTCGACTTTCAATTAATGCCATTCAAAGTGTGTGTTTTGGGTTTCTCGATCGTTCATTGTGTATGCGTCGCTGCATTCCTAGCTGAAACCATAAATCTTCACTCATTCGTATTGATGGTTCAATATGTCACAGCTGAAATAACTGTAAATGACTGCAATATAACAACATAGTTCCTAGGAGTTGGGTTAAAAATAGTCTTAAAGACGTGCCATTGAAAGGACTCTAAGAGACAGACGCCCGTGGGTAGTTAATTCAGTGTAATAAAGCTCGCAAGCTAAGCTGCTTAAGATGCATGCCTGATGAAACTCTGGAATTATATATGTATATAGGTATGTATAATGCTGGCATTTCTATGGTGGTAACTTAATAAGAATGTGAATGGATTAAGGGCGCAATCTGATATTCAGAAACAGCACAGAACAGTGCAGCCCCAAACTTTCTAAGCATGTTCCACATTCAATGCGTATTCAATTTGAATAAGAGTTCTAGCATATTGACAATTCGCAGAATAGTTCATTCATTGAACCATAATTGAGTTCGTGTCCTAAGTCTTTTGTTTTCTTTTCATTTTTTGCTCTTAGGCTTATTTCATGTTTCAATCAGCATTCGTCAAGCCAATTGTCACTGCTAAGCTTCTATGTGTTGTCTACCCACACGCGTTCGTGTCTTAAGTCTTTCGTTTTGTTCTGCCCAGTTGAGTTGTAAGTACGCTGATGATGATGCTGTTGCTGCTGCTCACTCAATCAAGCCAATTAATTAATCAATGTCAAAGCGAGTGAACAGTAGCACTTGGTGCTATGCTGTCAGCGGTTCACACACATAAAAACTGTGCAAAAAAACGTGCTTTAGTTATGCTCATCTAACAGAAAACATGATCTTAATCATGATCCCAAGCGGTGAATGTCAATGGTTTGGGTGGCTTTGACACACAGGCAAAGAGCACCAGATGCCCGCCCATTGATAAGACACCGCCAAGGCACTTGCGTACGTGCCCCCTTTATAAGCGAGTTTCTCTTAAGCATTCGCTCTTTCACTCACTGGCTCACTCTCTCTCCCTCTGTCTCTCCCTCGCTCTCTCTTTCGGCTGGCCATGGTCAGGTTAAACATTTCTTTGCTGCTCGCTTTGCATGGCTAATGGAAATGTTATAAAACTGCCAAGCTGTGCCCAGGCACGACTCAGTTCATCTTCAGTCGTTGCCTGCTTGAGTTCTAAAAGGTGCGTCAAGTGTAGTTTTTTCAGGCTCAAGAACGAATTCTTGAAGCCAAGTGCGTGTGCTCCTTGTAGCAGCAAGAAAACGTCTACAAAAACTAAATAAATAAAGAACAATTAAACAAAGTTGTTAAGTAACAGGATTGCCATTTAACAGAAGTGTGTGCCCTTGTGTGTGTGTTTGTTGTGCTTGTCTTAAGCTCGATTCTACGCTTGATAACGCAGCGTCTTTTGTCTCTGTTCGCAGTTCAAGGATATAACTCAAGGCTAGCCTGCACTGGAGTTGACAACGAGCAAGAAACAAACAAACTAAAAAACAAAAATTACAACAATTTTTTTAGCGCAAAAATGCGTCTCATTGTGGTAAGTAATTAAAGTCCAAACCCAGAAAAAAATAAGTCAAGTTGCTAAATGTGTACTTAGAATGAAAAAACTAGTTTAGTTTTGTGCTTTTGCTGCTGGCTTCTGTGCTGTATGTGACCGCAATTAATCATTTATTAGCGGCGTTGAAGTCATTAACTGGCGCAAGTTCGTGCCTTAAGTCTTTCGTATTTTTCTCTTTTTTGTATTTTCGTATTTAATTTGCGTTTACACTCAGCTCTCAACTTTCACTGGCTGATTCTTTTTGCCAAGATTCTTTTGCTACCAAGTTGAGTTAGCTGTGAAATCAGTCTGAGTTTCATTTGGCCCATATGCAAATATCTGGCTCAGCAGCTCATCAAAAAATCAATTTGCTAATTGAAAAAAGAAGAGAAATAAAGGGCAAAACTGAAAAAGCTTCTTAGAAGACTTGTGTTAAACTGAATTTATAGAATATGATATATGGAAATCTTTGAATCCCAAATGAATTTTAAAATATTATTAAATTAATATATGCTCTGACATAAATTAGATATAAGAAATATTTGAGAATAACGCTTAAATATATATATATATATATATATATATATATATTCATAATAAATAAAGATTTATATTGGAAATCTTAAGATCAAAACTTAAGAATATTTAAATTAAATCTCTTATTCTTTTTTATATGTATTTATTTATATTTTTCAATCAAAGCTGCGCTATGTTATATAAACCCTTACTTTGAAAGTTAGTAAAATAAAAATTTTAAATAATTATAAAAAATTAACTGAAAAATATTTCAAGTAAATATATTTTTATAGATAAATATTTACAAAAAAAATTTTTAAGTGAACTAATATATTGTTAAATATTAAAAAATATAATAAAATATTTCATTATATAGAGTTTATGACATATGAAACTTTATATAGCAAACATTTAAATGAAAAGTGAAAATTAATCAGCACGTCTTTATGGCAGACACTTCTTATAGCTTACGTATTACGCACTGCATTATTCATATTCTATTGAATACAAAAAGAAGAAGAAAACACGCCCTAAAAAAGTTGAAATGCGTCAGCGTCCGCCTCGCATATCATATAAAGAAAAAAGCAACAACAAAAGACATTTTAATAAGCCTTATGAAAAGCCCAAAATAAAATATATTAATTACATCTGCATACCTCACTCACTTATGCATATATATATATATATATATTTATATATGAAGAAAAATCAATATGCTATAAACGTAGGCTAGGCATGTGCGTAGGAGGCCATGACAAATGACAGTGAAATAAAGTTCTCGGGCATTAATTGCCGAGAGCTGGAAGAACTATGAAAGAGATACTTTGTAGCGCCCAACTCTCTACTATATGGAGACCCATAAAACGGAGCTATAAAGTATGTGTTATCGCTCGCCATTGATTGCACAACATAAATCAATGGGGCTTCAAGGGACGGACCCTCAATGGCATTAATTAATCTTCATTTAAATGACTTATTTCCCATGCTGTTCCCAACAGCAGCAGCTATTGCTCCTAATTAAGTTGGAAACTTGAGAACTACTCAAAGTGATTTGCATTTCGAAATATTTTCTTTCTGTGTATGGGCAGCATTAACCCAGTTTTGTAACACGCCCAGAACAAACGACTGCGCCAAATAATATGTATAATAAATAAACCAGAACCAAAAGAAAGCGGGCACAAATACATCTTGATGCCAAGTCGCGGCTAAATGCAAGCACAGCTTGCAAATACAGAACACCAAATACAAAATACAACATACAAAAAGTCTGAAAAGTCTTCCCAGCTGGTCCAGAGCTCGTTTTTTTTGGTAACAAAAACATCAATAATGTTAAACGCTTAGGCGGAATATCTTTAGCTGGGTCAATGACACACGCCAAGCTCAGTGACATTGCGGCTTTTGATAGATGAAGTTGCCATGGCGGTTGACAAGCTAACGGTCCACCTGGCTGGGTGCTGTTGCGTCAATATTGATTTTGCCAAAGAAGCGAGCACGCAAATATTTGGCGAGCATGGCTCATGGTTCTACTGATTCGAGGTTCTTGAGAAGCGAAAACCTGTGAAAATAGTCTGACCATATGGGCTTGGCTCTCACTTTTCAGCTGAAGCTTAGCGAAAGATGCTGGAGAAATAAAATCAAATGAAATGAAGTGCTTGACCGCATTCTTAGACCTTGACAGCTGGCACGCGGCATAATCATAGGTATTTAGTATATAGCTATATAGAATCGTAGAGATTTGAAGTTCATAAGTAGTTTGATTGATTAATAGGTCAGCTGCAGCATATGCATCTGCTATATCTTATTCTTTGCTTTAAGTAGACTACGGACCGCCCTCGTCGACTTTTCAATAATATCTTAGCTTATCTCTTTCTTGCAGTTATCAACACTTTTGCTTGCCTCCTGGGCTGCTGGACAAGCCACGGATGCCGTCGAGTAAGTAGCTCGAATTCTTTCAGATATTTGAATTAACCTTTGTCTTGCCCCGCCTTGCCTTGTGACTGTGTCATCCTAATGCTCCTAGTAGTAGCTGCCTTTGTATTGTGACTAAAAAAGCATTATTAAATTGTGCGACTAAGCCACTCATTATCCGTAGATAACACCTGCTAATCGCATTAGTTTACTAATCATGCCAATACGATGAGACCAAAAACAAACCTAACTTTCGTTTGCAGAATACAAAGGCAAAGACTGATCAAATTTCCCGAGGAGTTTGATCCGAATGTGGCGCCGCCCACGTCCGACAAAGCGGACGAGGCCAAGCGCATTCTCGACCAGATTGCCAAGGTGAACGAGGCCTTTGGCTACGTGAAGAAGAAGCCCGATCAGCCAAAGCTGCCGCCCATACTCGACTCCAGTCAGTATCTCTTCCCCAAGCCCGCCCAGCAGCCCTTCCACTCGCAGCAGCATCATTTCTCTGGCAGCAATGGGCAAACGTTGCTGGAGCCCTCCATTCGAGCTGTCAAGCTAACAAGGCATGTCGTGGATGCATCCAGAGAGCAACAACAACAGCCTCTCTACTTCCGACCTAATCAGGTGCAGCTGCCACAGCCAAGCTCAGCGCAGGAGGCACAGCAGCTGCCCGCCCACTTCGTCATACCTGTGCATCTGTACAAACTGAACAAGGAGCAGTATTTGCGAGAGAATGCACCGCAGGAGTATCGTGTCAAGGGCTACAAGATAATTGGCGATGTGGACAGCTTCTATGGCAAAGCGAAGGGCCTGCTGCACGATAAGAACCAGAAGCAGAGCAAGACAACGCCCAAATACCATTTGTTCTTTCTGCCCCGCGAGTTGGCCTTGAATGATGACGGCACGCCCAAACGCGGTAAGCCAACAGCGACAAGCACCACCACAACCACCAAAGTGCCTAGTTCCAGCAAGGAATCTCGATTCGATTCGCGTGAGAAGCTTATGCATAAGCCACAGTCACTCCCACAGCCACAGATACAGTCCCAGCTACAGCCACAGTCTGCTCCTTCTCGTATGCCCGCCGTCGTCACACCAGATACGAATGGCAATCGCAAGCGGATTAGCGGATTAGTTGGCAGCACAACCAAGCCATTGCGTGGCAGCAGCAAGGATGCAGATCAGACTCAGCAGCTGCAGGCCAGTTCATCTAGTCTCAAAGTGAGCTCTGCCCCAGGCCACAGTAATATTGCTCAGCAAACCACGTTGCCGCCAACAGGCGGACTGCTGCCCAATCGCAATCGCTTGAATGTGTTCCGTGTGCCCAGCGTCAATCTGGCCGAGATGCAGAACCAGACCTCGACAGCCATCAAAAACGCCTTTCAGAATATTTTCAAAATGCCCTTCCGCACGCCTATTGCGCTGACAGGAACAACAGCCACACAGCCAGTTGTGGTGCAGAGTGGAGCTCAACAAAATACCGCCTTGTTGCAGGATAGTCAGGATGATTACAAGTGGGATGATGAGCGGGAAGGCGGTGGTGATGGTGACGGGGATATAGATACCTTGGAGCAAATGGAGAATACGGCTGCGGAACAGGACACCAGTGCGGGAGCAGAGAAGCATCTGTTTGCACACAAAACGCATCACCTAATGAACACAATAGGCACTGTGGCCACCGCGCATCAGGGCACCCAGAAGCAGGCTCTGCGAGAGGGCGGCATCATCATTCAACGCTTGAAGGTGCGCAAGGGCGGAATTGCGATTGCAGGGCCGGGAGGCGTGGCTACAGCGGGTAGTGGCGGTACAGCAATTGTGGGCCCTGGCGGTTATGCCCTGACCCACCCGCGCAGCTTAACCATTGCTGGTCCTGGGGCTAAGGTTATTTCTATACCTGCTGATGTGGACCTGAAGGATGCTCTCCAACGCACAGATGTGGATGCACAGAGCTTTCCACGTGAGGGCAAGGTGGTGGCTACAGGGCCCACCGTCTACTATGCACCACCAACGGGCATGACGGACGATGACGAGGAAGAGATGCAGGAATTTGAAGCATAAATTGTAGTTGCCTGACTAATTAGTTAGGATCTGTTGTCGGCCCTGGTCTTCGAATTAGTTCGATTACAGTTATCGATTCCCAGGGCTGCCAGAAAGTTAGGAATTGTGGCTGCCCTTTAGCTATGTTCGATTTTAAACCTAATGACTGTTAGTATTTTTGTATAGCGCCTAAGTATTGGTAATAAATGTTTGTATTTGTAATTTGTGCATTGCTTTCATCTGTAATCATATGTAAATAGTTGCCACGCCCACTAACACCACACAGCCTTTGCATGCACTACATCTTCTAGACTAAACCCAATTTGAGCTGTATATATGTATATATAACGAGACTAATGGCTATCCTCAACTCTCTTACTCTTCCTATGAAAACTCCTTTCCTCAATTCGAATATCCTAACCAACATCTAATCAAGTGCGAACACGTACTGGCAGACCACAAGCTTTGAGACGTGGCCGCTGCGCAGTCGACTGCAGGTGAATTATTTGGCGCCCACTGCGATTCAGTCCATTGCACAGAAGTTAGATGCAGCTCCAGCTATAGACAATGTCCTGACACCCTATGGCGCCTTGCAAGCAGCTGCACAACCGCAGCCAGAGAAACTCACAGCAGCCAAAGTAGCTGAAACTACAAATCCAACACATTTCGGAGCTCTAACTCCCTATGGCGCTTTGCAATCTACCACACATGGCAATCTGTTGCTGTTGAATTCACCATACTATGCTGCCTACAGTCTGCCATTCGCTTTTGTGGCGCCATCTGTGGGTATAGCCGCAGCTACACCCAATACAACCACCAGCATAGCAAAGCCTGCAACCACAGACGATATTGAAGTTGACAAAGCTGAAGAAGAAGCAGAAGATGACGCCATTGGAACATTACAAAAGCTGCAAGCAAAGTCACAAACCTCAGCTGGTGATCTAAAAAGTGATGTTCGTCTACGCGCTGCCGTTAGCCGCATCAATTCCGACTATGTGATCGAAGAGATTGTCTCCGTTCCGGGAAAGCATATATTGTCCAGCAGTTCTCGCTCCACCAAGCAGCAAACGAAGAAGGCAACAGCAGCCAAGCTACGCAAAGGCAGCGGAAAACTGCGCGCACCACCCGTCAAAGTCGAAGCCACTGGACGCACCAGCACCAGCTCAAAGAACTTTCCCCAGATACCCTTTGGCAATTACTTCCTGCCCTACCATGCCGAACAGGCACAGGCCATACAGGGACGCAAACAGGCGGCGCTCATACTAGAGCCCCACTCCAAGGCTGTGGTTGGCAATGGAGGCACCGCCATCTCCACGCCCATCTCCAGAGCGTTGCTCAAAAAGGGCGTGCCCACCAATGTATACTTTAATCCAGAATCGGTGGCCATTGCAGGCGTGGGTGGTAAAGCGCATGCAGCGGCCGATCTGGAGCTGGATTTGTTTAACTGAAGCGGAGTCTGATCCACTGGAGACATATCTGTCTCCAGCTAAGTAGCTTAATGTAGAGCTATATGTTCCTATCTTAAGTGCTGTTCCATCTCTCTATCCTTCTTTAGTTGTAAATAAAGTTGTAGTAAACTATTTGGCTTTGTACCTTTAGAGTAGTCGTCGCTTGCTAATCATCCGTAGATTTGCTTACCTTCTCCACGCTTTACCTTACCCTCGCACACCCACAATTGTACAGGCAAATGCCGCACTCCATGTCCATAGCACTTTAACGAACTCTATAAAATTTAGACACAGATCGGCTGGCTCCAGATTCGGTCCACTGATCTACGAGGAGCAACTGCCCTACTATGGTGGTTTGAGTGGTCAGGTGCTGCTGCTGCATCCGCAGCAAGATGGCAGTATTCGCAGTAGCATTCTGCAGCGTCAGCAGCCGCAGCTCCAGTTGCGTGGCATTCCAAAGGATGCGGACGACACCATCAGCATCTCGGCAGCCAGCATCTCGGCTGTGGCCAATGACGACAGCCCCATCTCGGCCAGCGGCAGCAATTTCAATCGCATTCAAGCGGCAGCCGCTCGTCTGGTGGCCATACAGGAGCTGGCCAAGCGGAAGGGCGCCTTCAGCGAGGAGGACAACAAGATCTATGCCAATAGTTTGCTGGAGCTGGGACAGGCGGCTACAGCTTTGGCTCTGCTGCAGCAGAACGGACAGATCAAGGACTTCAGTGTGCTGCTGCAGCCGGAACTGTTTGGCATAACACCACAGAAGCAGCCCTCGAATCTGGGCCTGGAGGCCAACAATCCAGCGGATCAGAAGATCGACGATCACAAGCTGGAGGAGGTCACCGAGCAGCAGCTGACGCCCGAGGACATTTTGCCACCCACCAGCGATGATCCGTACGAGGATGTGAATGACAGTGTGGCAGTCATAGCGCCCAAGAAGGATGCAGCTGTGGCTGAAGCCAAGCCCGTCGGTAAGTCTGTCCGATCTTAGCTTAGCTTAGCTGCAGCTAATCTTCATGCTAATTACCCATTTAGGCCTCTCCATTGCCGGTGAGGGCGGCGTTGCCTCCTCGAAGCCCAACGCAGTTGCGCTCTCTGGACGCAATGGCCTGGCTGTGGCCTCACCCAAAGCCACGGCTATTGCTGGCGTTACACCCGAGGAGGCGGCCGCGTTTAGCATAACACTGCCATCACGCAATCAGCTCGTCATCAAGACGCCCAATTCCGCAAACGATGATTACGACTACAGTGATGCCCCACTGGCAGTGTCCAGTTTTCCACGCGTGCGCGAGACACCGCAGCGTGGCGACGCGCTCGTCGAGAAATGGCGTGTTGCCATTGCCAAGGAGTACGCAGCCAGATCAAGAGAGCAGCAGGCACAAAAGCTGATGATACGTGCAGCACCCAAGCGACGCCTGCATCACGAGTAGAGGAAGTGAAGTGCAGCCTCCCGAGCAGCCGTCGAGCATCAAACATGAAATTGTCTATGTACATCAAAATTGCCAATAAAAAAGAAAAAGATTTGCGTATCAAATTCATTCGGCCATTGAACCTTTGATCTTCGCAGCAGTTTAGCTCACAATTTTTTGTGTTGCCTGCCAGCAGGGGCTACAGCTGCGATCCAATGCGATCCAATGCGATGCGATGCATATCTAATAGACCAGCAAGCTGTGATTATATTTTAAAACGAAATAACTTTTACAAAAAAAAAAAAATAAAAAAAATAAAGAAAAGGAAAAGAAGATATATATAAGGGAGCTGAGCCAGAGAAGGAGCTGATATAAGATATAAGTACGAGCTGGCAAGCGCATATCTTGATTAATCTTTTCCGCCAGCAGGCGGTGCAGGCAGCATAAAAATAAATCTAGCCAATGGGCCAGGTGGGGGGCGAGGGTGAGCAGCAGTCAAGCTAAATGCGCTGCACAATGTATTCAATTTGCACCTGAACCAGTTTCCCAGTTTCTAGCCATTGCCATGACCATGGCCATGGCCATGGCCAAAGCTCCCATGATGGTCGTCGTGAGTGGCTGTCAATGCGCTTGCAGCGCTTGACTTCTATTACAATGCAGGTTTAACAAACTCAGCTTGACCAAAAGCGAAGACCAAGGCGAAGACCAAGACCAAGACCAAATCGTTGCGACATGCAGCACGTACAACAACATCTACGTTGACCATCTGCCATGGCCAGAACCTGGTGGCTGCTGGCTGCTGGCTGTTGGCTGTTGCCTGCAAACCAGAAAACCCTCTTCTGTGTGCAAGTGCAAAACGAGCACGAATAGTGAGTGCGAATGCCCATGCGAATGTGAGTGTAAGTGTGAGTGTGGCTGTGAGTATGAGTATGTGGCATGAGTGCTTGTTATTGTTGTTATGCTCAACAAGGTAAGGAAAATGTTTGAGCTGGGTTGAATGTTTTCCTCCAACTGTATGTAACAGATAGAATTGGCGTTCCAGATATATATCTATATATATTCTTATAGATAAACACTTGATAGATAGTTAGTGGACTTGATACAGGGTGTCTTCCAGTCGAGCATTGCTCAGTGGAGCACTCTTACTTGTAGCTGTTGATATTGTTGTTGTTGTTGTCGCTTTTGCTTAGCCAACTTTGGTCATTTGCCGCCTGCTTTGCGTGTGCTCCTTTTGGCTATCTTGTCTGTGCCACTCCCTCCGCCCCTACCGCCGCCCCTTTTGCTCCCCTCTCACACTATTCCTGCGGGAAGCTGCAAATGTTGCAGCTTGTTTTTCAGCTTGGTGTGCTTCTTCTTCTTCTTCGCCATCTACCAGTTGCAGCTCTTTGTTCTTGCGCTAGGTCAGTTAGGCAGCGAGCACATTATAAAAGGCCCATCGCAGCCAGCATTGGCCACCAGTTTCCTTGAAGTGGTCGCCGTGTCAAGACTGAACCACTCAGCCACAACCACCAACTCTAAACCACACCACAATTGTGCCAAGTTTCAAAGCAGCATCTCTTGTGTTTCCATTTTCCATCTAAGTTAACCTTTTTGTGCCGGATTAAAGTGAGCTGCTCTCGAAGTACCAAACATCTCAAATATAAGCGGCAGTTGCCATCAGGTAAGTTCTCTACTTTTGTGTGTTTTTTGTTTCTAATGTGGTTTAATGTCAAGTTCGTGCCCTAAGCTCGTTTAGAAAGTCCATGTCCATTGAATTAAGCACAGTAGGCGCGACCACGCTTTAAATAGGAAAGCTTTCAGTTTGTTTTTAAAGTCTCTTTATGAGGGCAGTTTTAATATTTATTAGCCGTTAAGCTAAACGAGTTGTTCATCTTAGAGTTGAGATCTCTCTCTTGCAGGCAGCAAAAATTATTAATGTGCAGAATATATATTTAACATATAATATAAACTTTTAATGTAAAGCTCTTGTGTTAATACATTAGCTAAAGAAAATTACATAAAATAAATAAAATAATAATTTATTTAATTTTTCCCAACACTTAAACAGAAAAATATTAATAAATGCATACAAATTTTCTTTGAAGTTCTCAGCTAGTTTTTTCCATAGTTTCAATAGGCTGAGTAATAGAATGGAAATTAACATTTATTTATTATGATTCCTTTACTTTCAATTATTTTGTTAACTATTTGATCTACATTAAATGTGATGCCATAGAAGCCTTATTTTATTTTATAAATTTAATACGTCCTTTGAAGCACTTAATATTGATATAGTACAAAAATATTACAACAAATTACATTCCACAAACATCTAAGGTCGAGGTTACAATTTCTACTCAAAAATACAATCAAAGCTTTTATCATTATTTCAATAAATCACTGTTTGATATATATGTAATAATTGTTTAAAAAAATTAGCTAGCCTTCATTTTTTATATAATATATATAAGTTCACTGAATGGATAATGAAGCCAAAACCAAAAAAACAGAGTTTCCCAGTCTTGAGATTCTGTCCTCACGTATTTTTCCATGAGCAATTATAAATCATAAAATAATTATTATTTATTACGGCATCTATCCTGTAAGACTTACGTCTAAATAAAAACAATTTTAAAAACTTAAATTTTTACACCTTTAAATAAAAAGTTGCTATTTGTTCTGTAATAAAATCATAACTTCTTATTTCAACTCTTTAATGAAGAGAACTTTCTAAGTCTAAAAACTAGTGTATCGTGGTTACACAATTTCAACACTTAACTATCCACCTTGATCATCATAAAGAGAGAGAACAAAGTCGTCTATAAACATGCCTTAGGTCAGTTTCAATCTTAGCTCAGTTTGAGCAGACTTTTCAAAAGACTTTCTTACCCCGAGCTATGCTAAAATTAAGTTTCCAGTTCAATTAGTAGTTGCAATCTTTTTTCCCTTCACAATCAAGCCAAGCTAAAAGGAAATAGGAAAAAACGGCCCCTCTCGTTTGCTGAAACCTCTGAACTATTAAAAACATTCTAAACGTTGCAGTTGCTTCAATTGCCACGCAAATGATAGGGAAGAAGAGATGGTGCTGGGCTTTAAATAGATATGCGCAAGTAATAAGACTTGGGGGAATTTGATGCCCCTTAAAGATATGATCAGAAAAGAGAAAAACCAGTTATTAGCCGAGCTGCAATCAAAAGAGTTGGCCAAGAACTTGGTCTGGCAATTGCAACTGAATTGCTGGATTGCAGACAGCAAGCACATTGGGCACTTTATGTGTACACCAGAATTGGCTGCTTCAGAGCTTTTCCAAGAGCCAATCAAACCGCAAACCGGTTAATAGTTCGCATCCTGTGGCACACACATGCAATTATAAAGTTTAAATTTAGAATGCACTTTGGTTGGCCAACTATAAATAGCTAGCCAGGCCAATACCAGTTTAGCTGCTGCAGCAGAAGCAGCAGCGACCACAGCTAATGCCTGGCATAGACAACTGTAGCTAAAGCCTTTGCTCTTCCCCCCTCTCAGCATAATGTTCATCTTTGCGCTGTTCTGCCTGCTGGCAGTGGGCAGCCAGGCGAAGCCAGTCGTGGAGCCTGCCCAGCATATTGTCATTGTGACGCCTCAGGCGCAGGTGCATCTAGAGCCAGCGTTGCGCTACGTGCATGGCTTGTCGCCTTTGGCGCGCGTCTCTGGCCCGCATCATGAGGAGACCATTGTCTATGTGCCAGCTGGAGCTGCAGCCTCTGTGGTGCCCACTCTAGGCGATGCCGTATCCACTGGCCGTGCCAGCAGCCGTAATCCTGCACAGGAAACCAGGCAGACAGAAGGCTTCCCGAATGTCAATCAAATCCAACAACAGGTGCAGCAGGGTGTTGAGATCGTGAGCGGACAAATTGGTGAGGCTGCTGAATCAGCAGTTTCCGCCGGCTCTGGCTTCTTCCCCGGCCTGTTCCCCTACCCCAGTTCGGGCAGCAAAAACGAAGAGTTGCAGAAGCTGAAGAACGAGAAGATCGAATTGATTGAAACTCCGGCCAATACCCAACCACTGTTGGCTGCCACCGAGGCGCGTCATTTCTACAGTCTGCCACAGGTGTATCATACGCCCGTGGTCGATGTGGTGCATGCCCCAGTCTATTCGTGGCCCATTTCAGCTATACGCGCACGCAGTATTCAAACTGAGGAGGCACCCATTAAGGTCACTGAGGAGAGGGCAGCGCCAGAGGTCCCAGAGGCTCAGCCACTGCTCAAAGAGCAGAAGCAGCCAGAGCAAGCGGAACAGCCATTGGAGCAGCTGGCACAGATCATCATTCCTGCAGCCGTCGAGGCCAGTGAATTGAAGGCAGAGATTGCGGCTCGTCAGCTGGAGGAGAGCAACGCCATCAAGCAGGAGCAGCCAAACGAGGAGATTAAGAGGTCAACCCTGAAGGAGCCGCTTCAGGAAACCAGAAAGGGCCCCATCGAGACACCCATCAAGGAAGCCCCCAAGGAGGCTGAGAAGGAAATCATTCCGGAACCAATTCAACAGATTAAGAAGGAAGCCCTACCTGAAGCCAGAAAGGAAGCCATCCAGGAGCCCAGGAAAGAAGCCAGCCAGGAGCCCAGTCAAGAGGCTCGCAAGGAGGCCAGTAACGAGGAAGTTACATCACCCAATCTAAAGGCCGTTGAGGGTAGTTTAAAGGAGTTAATTAAGGAGACAATCAAGGAGCCCATCAAGGAGACCATCAAGGAGCTCATCAAGGAGGAACGTGAGTAGAACTCGAAAACACATTTAATATACAATATATATTTTGTATTTCCTGCATGTTTAGTCGAGGAGGAGCTACCGCTACTCAAGGTCATTCCTGCTGCCGCTGCCATACCTGCTGAGCCCCAGCCTCAAGTGGAGGCACAGCCCGAGCCCCAGCCAGCCGCCGCTGAACAAGCGGCAGCAGGAGCTGGAGCAGGAGCAGGAGCTTAAGTAGCCACAGCTATGAGAGCAATTCACATCAGATCACATCACTTCAAATCACATCACACACACAGACACACACTCATACACGCATATTCTATGGGCAGCTTTGGTATTCTACAACTCGATCTGTTCCGTGCCTAGGCTCTGGGCCAGGCCGTGGGTTAATACATTTAGTTACTAACACAGTCACAGCGAATCAATTTCCGACTTTCAAACAATTAATTAACAGCGTAAAAGGCAACAACAAACACAACAACAACAACTACAAAAGTATAATAAAAATAAAATAAAATATATATGAAAACAAACATCTAAATGCATATACGTTCATTCATAGCTAACATCATCGAGAACACGTACATAATCATCATCATCATCATTCATTCATTCATATTCATAACCATAACAATTGAAAAATGTAAAACAGAACAATAAAAAAGTGAATGTAAAATGTAAAATATTTTGAGAGTTTTATTTCACATGTAACTAATAGGGATGGCAATAAACAAAAGACTTAGACAACAAACTTGCATGGACGACATCTACATATAATAACTGAAAAGAACTTTTGTGAGTAAAAAAAGGGTGACATGTATCAATAAGATAGTGATTTTTAAAAATTAGATACGTTCTTAATAATAATACGATGATGTTCTTAATAGGGAGTTCATTACGAAGCTAATCTTTATGATGAATTTAAAATTTATGATGATGTTCATGGTCATTATAATGATGTTAAAGTTAATCTATAATGAGTATTTTCTAAATAATAATATTAATAAGCATGGCTATAGTTATGATCATTATCATAATCTTAAATTACGTTTTTTAAGGTAGATGCCGGCGGAAGGTAAGCTCTACACACATAGACATACAATCAAACATATACATACAGTCCTTCATATATATACAGCCATCAATATTCTATAATATTGAACTTCTAAACACAAACAGAACCTGCTTAAGCCAGCCACACCCTAAATATATTTCTACACATGCATAACTATATGTAATTATATATACATATATATATATATATATAATTATATATACATATATATTTATATATATATATATTTATATATAAATATGTATATCGCTTGTAATTGTGCAAGTGGACAAGATGGGGTAAACGCGTACCCGTAATTCCCCTCTAACATAAAAATATTGCACATATTACACACCCACACACACACACAGAGCTAAACATAAATCGCGCTCCCTGCAGCATGCGCGACGCATACTAAGTGAGCTTAGGACGTGCCCAGCCATGTGCTTTGGGCGCTTCTCTCACGTTACAGTTACAACGTTAGTCGTGGAGCTGTGTCGTTTATTGCCAAAATATATAAATACCAAAAATAAATAAATAAAATAACTCTTATTTATGTATGTATGCATGTGTTGATGTATGTATGTCAATCACTCATCCTCGCCCACAGTTATCCAAACAACTTTTTGTGGCGGGATCGGCGTTGTTGTCCGTGGCTCCGTTGATTTCTGTGTGCTTGCCACAATTTGTGGCGCCGCTGTGGTCGGCTCATCTTTGCGCACGGGTTGGCTGGTGTCCGTATGGCGGTAGACGGAGAAAAATGTTTGTATGCGTTGTATTATTCTCTCCAGCAGCGGCGGAAACTTGTGCTCCACACCATCGCCATACATCTTGATGTTCAGTTTGGCTTGCTGCTGGTGTGAGTGCAGCTTTAGTGCTTGCAACACGCTTCGCAATAGCAGGAAATTCTGTAGATTGCTGTCATTCTGATTGGGTGGATGCTGCAAGATCAATGTGCCATTTGGCTTCAGCTCCAGATAGCCAATCTCCTGAGCATCCATTCCAATGGCATTGCTCGCATCGTCCAACTCGAGGGGCACAACAGCAGCTCGCAGCGCCGCCGGCGAAAGCAGCAGCAGCAGCATCTGCGCTGCCTTGATCTGCATCTTGAAGTGGTTTATTTTCCTTTATTTGTTGGTAAACCTGACAGCGGGCAGCTCCGTTCGGCCAGTCGCTTGGTATTGCACTGGTTTTGACTTTACTTTGGCTTTCGCACTTATTTCAACTGCTGCTGTTACTTCTTCTGCTTCGAGCCCTGTGTGTGATTGAGCGCTGTTTGCTTTGGAGCCATTGGTTGGGCGCTGCGAGTGTGTTTACCTGGCGGGCACCTGGCCAACTTTGTTTATTTCACTTTTTCAGTTGCTCACCCGGCTCTCGGCGCTCTCATTGCGCTTAGACTTGGCTGTTTGAGTTATTTATTTGCATTGAAGTTTCCACCTATTTGTTCATATCTTGTTACACATTAATAAATATATTTGCCATTTGCGTATACGTAATATTTCGATAACATGCAAAGCATTTAAAAACGGATTCTGTTAAATGTTGTTTAAGTTCATTTGTCATAAAGAATTCAATAAAGCGGCATTATTATAATAACATATTATATTGTATTTAAATATGAGCGACAGTTGCAAATCGCAAACCGGATTCACGAAAATTAGGTCTGCGTTTTTATTTAGACTTTTGCATCATCGGCAAATAAATAAGAAACAATAAAATTATTTACAGAATTTCTTGAAAGAAGTAGATACTGTTTCAGAAGTGATTCAAAAAATTTTGGACTTCACGTATTTGTTTATACATCGCTCTTGGCATACTCAACGTAAATTCCAGAAATTGTTTTGATATATAACTATTTATATAAGAAATCATCAAATAAGACTAACTAGCATAAATAACTTCAGCTAGATTGTTGCTCACTTTGTTGTCAAGAACAAAATGTGTGTTAACCTGTTGGTGAATCATTCAATCATTTGAAACCTTTTTGTATACCCCGAGCCCATTGATAATGATTAGGAAAGGTATAATGCTTTAGTGAGCTGATTCGTTATAGCCAGTTGAGTCTATCTTTTTGTCTGCCTGTCTTCTCCTCTCTGTACAACTAATTTCAGCAACTGCATATGCTAGAGACGTGCCATCTTTAATATATATTCTCATATATTATATTGTTCATTAAAACTATAGATCATAAATTACATAAAGTGGAGCAGAACAAGCCTTGAGCGTCTCTGCAAATGGTCAGGGTATTCCCTAGTCAGGCACTTCCAACTAGACCTCCCATTGGTTTGTTTTTTCTTTCTATATCTTATGTATTCTCTTCAGCTAATGAAATTCAGTGAGCAGAACGCAAAAGCCAAAAAAAAAGTCGCCATTTGCGTCTGTGAAAAGCGATAAAAAGTAACGTAAGCTAAAAATACGTTTTAACTATTATTAATGTTTGATATAAATATATATAAATATATATAAATATATATATATATATATACTTACATATACATTTATATAATATCAATATTTGTTTTGGTATAAATGACGATGAGGCTGGTTGGCTGGGAAATTTAAATTTGTTTTAACGGTCAACTTCAAATGATTGTTATAAAATGTTGCTCGAGGCGTGCTTCTTACCTACTATTTAAATAGCAATATTATTTCTGTAATTGTAATTGTAATTGAGAAACTGCGCAGTTTGCTATGGACAGCCCTTGCACGACTTACAAATCCCAAAAAAAATAAATTTAAATCGAAAGACTTAGGCAACAAACTTGCGGAATTACAGTCAAGTAGTTCTCATTGCTTGAATTACCCACTCGAATTGACATTTGATAGCGCATCTGGAAGAAGATATGATTAATTATGCATACTTATATATGAACATCTCTAGCAGAGACAAGTCAAGTGCTCGTCTGCCTGAGCTTCCGCTGAGCGTTTCTACTCTACAGGAAACCCGAACCCCTAAAGCAAAAGCTGTACATTTTGTATTAATTAGAAGTGAAAAAAAATTGATGGAAGTGTTCAAAAATTATTTAATAAAAAATAAATCATTACCAGCGCATAACAAATACGAATTTTAGATAAAATGGTTGACCACGCGCATACCCAATGCCCATCAAGCTGTTTCATATTCAATTCATACTTCCTAAATAGCTGAACTGGTTTTCTGATGCTTGTTACTAAGTTAGATTATTAGATTATGATCCACTCTGATGTTAAGAGTTAATATATTGTAACCATAAAATTTAAAGCAGCTCAAGTATTTGACTTTAAAGAAAACATTTCGGACTCTAATTTGTTTGCCCAAAATTTATTAAGTTAGCAACTTTGAAAGAAATTTATTAACATGTGCTTAAGTCAGATATTTTTGTGTGCAGGGAAAACCCCAATGAGACTATAGAACTCGTTCTGCAATACTCGAATATTATTAATGATAAAATATTATATAATTAAAAATACAATTACATATAAATATAATATTATCTAATATATGTATATTATAGTTTTTGGGACTGTTTCTTGTATACTCGTATATAATTATAGTATATTTGAAATCGTCCAACGCTTTCAGTAATCTTCTAACATAGGAATCTTCTAGAAACAAGTTAAGTTAGTATATACTACCCCATGCAAGAGTTATATAGGGTATTGAACAGAGATCAATGAGATAACAGACAGCCGACGAGCCAACCAAAATGCCACTTAAACTACGACAGACACTTGCGGGTGCGCTTACAAAACAAATATTCTATAAACTACAACAACAATAACTACAAGAAAGAGATAAAAATAAAAAAGGTAAAATAAATATTATTTAATAACTAATTGAGCGTTGGGATGCTCGCATACATACAATTAATGATGCGAGCAAAACAGTAAAAGCAACGCGTGAGAAGTGTGAATTTTCAGCTAAGATGAACTTCAAATTGTTGTTGAGCTAAGATTTTTGTTGGGATGCTGCGGCTGCTGAGCTGATGCTGCTGTCGCTGCTGATGCTGAGTAAGAAACCGGACAGCAGCGGCGAGCACATCTTCATTCAACGTTCATTTGTTAATTTTATGCAAAACAACAAAAGCACAAATAAATATAAAAAACGGAAAACAACAAAATGCGAAGCAGAGTTAGTATAAAAGCGTTGCTGTAAAGTTATTTAGCTATTAGTAGATCGACAACAGTTCAAGCAACAGCAACAGCATCCAGAACAGTGTTTGTTAAACAATAAACAAGAAACTATAAACTATATACTATATATAGCAAGTGATAATCAAGTTTCGCAATGAAGTGCTTTATTTTAGCCGCCTTTTTGCTGGTTAGTAGCCCAAAAAAAACAAATCTGAATTGTGTTCGTGCTCGTGTTTGTTGTTGTTCTTATTTATGCATATAAATTGGCAACAAGTTATGAGCTTTGGATATATGATGCGACACCTATGGATCTATTCAATTAGAAATCCGGCTTGTAAAAATGTCAAATGTGCAAACACAAATGTGACTGACGTCTATTTGCCATTCGTATAACTTATGGATGTGCAAATTTTGTTACACGCTTAGGTTTCGAGGAAGTTGACCAAATGACATCATCAAGATTGAAGTTCATCAGAAAGCTGTGAAGCGTGGCACATTCTATAGCCCATTAATTTTATTTTCTACTTGCTTCTCTTTAAAGGTGAGCTGCGCCAGCGCCGAGAATATATTTAAGATTAACATAACGCCAGAGGAGGCGCAACAGTATCTGAACAGCGCTCAACTGCGGGGCGTTAATGAGATCGAATATGCCCCAAAGACAGGTGAAAATCCACTGCCGGAGGCACGCAACGAGAAGGGTGAGTTCGTGTATATGGGTCGCGTGATTGACCATCCCGAGGAGTATGTGGAGGAGCACTATGATGCGCATCAGTATCACGGCCAGGATGGTCTGGGTCAGTATGTGTATGGCTACAAGGACTGGAATCAGGGCAAGAACGAGAAACGCGACGAGGCCGGCACGGTCACTGGCTCCTACAAATATGTGCAGCCACATGGTCGCGACTTCGTGGCCAAATACTATGCTGACAGAAGTGGCTTCCATGTTGAGGACAACCGTCCGGCGCATTTGAAGCTGCCAGCCACCAAGACACCCGCCGTGCTGAAGGCCGAGGAGGAGCACTTCAGACTGTGGGGTGAACTGGCCGCTGCCGCTGGTCACAATCCTGATCCATATGCCGCAGAATACCAGAAGGGAGAGGGCGCCTACCAGCCCAGCGAGGCGGAGACCCGCGAGTACGTGCACGACGAGAAGCCTTATGTGCCTGGACCAGAGGAGACGGGCGAGCCCAAGGGCTTCTTCTACGCCTTCGACTACAACGTGCCGCTATTGCGCAACAAGGCGGAACGCGAGGAGCTCGAACGCCTGCGCGCTATCAACAACAAGGACGAATAGAGCGTTCCTTAACGTAGTTCTACGCACATAGCAAATAGCCTAACTCTAAATATTTATTCAATGATATATTAAATAAATCCAGCAGCTATTACATTTCTCAAATACGTTCTGTTTTTGCTTTTATTGTTACATATACATATATATATAAAATGTGGTTTGGTTGTCGTTTTTTTTTGTTTGTTTGTTTTAATTGTTGTTTTAACCCGTCCACTTGTATAATTTTATTTGTTGTTAATCTTAACACATTAGTTGTTGTTTTTTTGTTGTTGTTATACGTTCTTTACATTTACATTTTGTTTTTTTTTGTTTTTAAAATTTTATTTTTATTTTTTTTTTTAATTTTTTCTTGCTGCTTTTCAAGTAAAATTATTGCTTTCTTGAACTTAAATTATTTTTTTTATAAGCATTTGAATCAATATTTTTTAACTTAATTTTTGTTTTCTTTCTGTTGTTGCTTGTTTTTACAACCAGCTAAAACTAAGTTTTAATTTAATTAAATTATTTAATCGATTATTTAATGCTTTAGTTTTGTGTTAATTTCATTTCAAGTTACAAACATAATTTTGTAATTATAATAAAAACGTATTTTTGATTTTAAATATATGTTTAGCTTTTCAATTTAATGCGATGCCATTTTCGTTATGGCACTGGATGCTGGCGAGATGCATCGTAGAAAAACAACAAACCAAAATAATCTCTTAACTGAGACTCAGAGTGTTCTTGTTGCATGCTTTTGGGCGTTGCATAAAATAATTTAAAAAAAAATCGCATTATTAAATACTCTGGCAAAGTTAAGTAATATTTAGTGAAAGAAAAAGTTATCTAAAGAAATTGTTGAAAATAGTTTAAAATTTGTTTTTTAAAAGAGAATTAGCTCCATTTTGCAAGAGTATTTAAACTTCGGCTGGCCAAAGTTAAATGATTTGTTTATTCGATTTTCAGTATATTAAATATATATTTGTTTTGTAATTATGTTGAAAATAGTTTTCGATGTTAAAAACAAAAATTTGATTTTCAAATGAATCACAATTGAATTTTCGTTTTAAATGAAAAGCAAACATTACAAATGCTCACATATGTACTCGTATACTCGCCTATATGCATTGTGTATGGATATATATATATAGTTATATATATGTTTGTACATATGTATGTGATTTATATATGGCAGCTTTGTTCAGTCCAATATTGAGTTTTCTCTTTGCACATTAAATTCTATTAAATTTTCACTGCATTTTTGTGGTATACATATATCTCTCGATATATAGAGTTCTTGAAGCTTGACTCGTTTAGTGCGAACGACGTGTGTATAGAAAATAGAAAAACAAACATCAAATAAACAATGCAACAACGATAGAGAATAGAATAGAATATATCATATGATATTATACATTTTGTTTCAGGTCATTTTGATTGCATTACTTGGAACTGTTCTTTGATTACTGAAGTAATTAACTATAGTTGAAATTGAAACAAGGCAAAACAAAACATTTAGAAATAAAAAACAATGTAGTATCTCATACAGATAGTAGTGTTAATACAAAGGTACAAAAAGGTACTTTATAGAGCCTGCGACGTCGTTCACACGAGTTGAAACTTCAAAAAACAAAAAGAATAACTTTGGAGATCATTTGAGCAGAGTGGTACAGGGAAAAATAATGCGTAATACTTGTAGAGCAGGGTATTTCTATTCGATCAAAACGCCCTCGCTAGTCTAATTAGTTGTAGATGATAGGGATTTCGTGCAATGTCGTGTGCTGTATTTCCTCTACATATTTCTGATGATAATTTGGCGCATGAGTTTCTTGTTAAGATTGCCATTGGTTCGAAGACCTAATTTAAGTTCTCTATTTTATTTTACTTATTTGCTGTTATTTTCTGTTTCTCTCTCTTTTGGTTTGTATATAAGGCAAACTGTATGCGAAACATACAAATATTGAACTATATAAATACTTGATTTTTATATTTGTTAATCTTTACGTATGCCGGGGAAGAATTCTGGAGAAACTATGGATGACCTGCCCAGACAATTGGGCGATATATATATATATATATATATATATATATATATATATGCATGTATGTATTTGTGTATGATTGGAGCATGGCACAACATTATTTTTTTCTTTCTTTCAGATATTATTACATTGAGAGTCTGTCGATTTGCTTTCAAAAATTGACTGATACAACTGTATATATTGTATATATATATTCATATATAAACGTACTTTGTATACATATATATATATATGTATATGCATGTTTGTATTTATGTAAATCTTGTATATATTAAACGTCCACGACTCTAAATACGCCTAGGTGCTAATGAAGTGCTAGTGCTACCCAAAAAGTAGTTCTCTGTCTACTCATTACTCCTATCGTGCCTTTACTCTTCCTACTTACGAAACTTGATGTTATCCTTGTTATCATTTATACTTAACTACTTGGCTACAGCGGCCGCTGCCGATGTTGCACTGGGCGCCACTTTAAGCTTGATGAACATGTTGTTGTCGTTGTTGCTGCTATTCAGATCGAGCTTCTGCACCTCACACTCGAGATTGTTGATGCAGTTCTTCTCGTATTGTGTGGTGCCATTGTCAGTGGCTGTTTTGTCACCGGGTGTTTGTTCGCTGGGCGCCACTTTCTTTTCCTTACTCTTCTTTAGCGCATTAAGCAGTGTTTTCTCTTTGCTCTTGCTCTCCTTGTGATTTCCATCTTTATCCTTATGCTTATTATTCTTGAAACGCGGGAATATGCAACCGTTGGGCAAGAAGCCGCCAAGTTTCTCCTTCTTTACTGGCGCTGCTGGAGTGGGCGTAGCTGTGGCTACAGGAGGCGTGGGCGTAGGTGTGGCTGTGGGCTGAACAGCTGCAGCGTTTGGCGTTGGAGCTGTTGTTGTATTTAATGGAGCACTAATGCCATTGCTGGTAGTCGTATTGACTGATTTGCTCTCAGGCTCATGTGTCGCTTGCTCTGGCGTTGATAGATTTTCTGAGGCAGATGGAGAGCCGTTGTTACCATTAACAACGACACCCGCATCCGTTTGATCACTGCAAGAATCGCCAGGCGTTCCCTCATTGCTACCCACTTGTTGTTCTTGCTGCTGGTGTTCATCCAACTGCTCACTGGCTACCTTGTTATCGAGCTGTTGGGCAAATACGGCCAATGTAATGCCATTCCCATGTTCCGCCGTCATAAGATCGGCATTGTATGCTGGGGGCAAGCCGATCTCGGAAGTATTTGATTGCGCAGCACTGCCAGCACGCAATGCATCCGGTGACTTGGGAAACATTTGTTGCGTAGTGATGTTTTGATAGTGCTGCTGTTGACGCTGCTGCAACATTTGCTCCTCACGTTCCCGATCCCGCTGCGCCTGCACAGCATTCCAGACATCCTTAAGCTCGCCCGAAATGTCACGATCCTTGAGTATAACGGCGTTTCTGTAATAAGTAAACTTTATTTTAAATCCTCAAGTGAGATAACAAGGGCGTAGGCACCTGACTAATTTCACGCCGGGATTCATAGCCTCCACAAAGTCGCACATTAGCTCCACCATAGCACGTCGTTCCTCTGGATCCTTGCTATGGCGTCCAGAGTCTTTAAGCACTTCAGGATTGGCCATAACGGCAAACACAATGGGTGGACTGCGCGGGCTGCCAGGCGGCACCTATTAAAAAAAAAAAGAAAACATAGAAAAGAATTGTAAAAAGTTGTGGCTTTAGCTTCTACTTACGCGCATGCCTCCATACAAAGGTATAGGATCACTGGGCTCCTGTGGTATTACTATACGTGTCCAGCTTAGCACATTGATGAACAACTCCTCACCAGTTTCAGTGGTGGTGCGTATGCACATGTGCGGCTGTGGCGGGTTCTTAAAGTGACGATAGGCGCGTGAGTGTCGATAGCTGTGTGGTGGTGGCGATGATTGCATCAGTGTCATCCCCAAACCCATATCGCCTTGTTGATCTAGCTGCTGTTCTTGCTCCTGCTGTGCATGTTGCTGCTGTTGCAATTGGGCATGCTGTTGCATATTATTGAGCTGCAGCTTTTGTTGCTCCATATTAATGCTATAGCTGTTGCTTGATGCCATAGTCTCAATCGTTTCTTCTAGGTCTATGCCAAATGTATTGGCTTCAGCATCATTGGCAGTGCTGTTATTGTTGCTTGTGTGTACGTTTTGTTGTTGTTTCGGTTGCTGCTCCTGTGCGGAACTTTCAGTCTCAAGCTCCGCGGCCGACATTTTCGGTTTGTATATGTTTTATGGTTGTTATTATTTGATGTTTGTTTATTAGTTGTTAGCAGTCTTTTGATTTGCCCTCTACTGCTGATTCTTTGACGGGTTTTCCGTGCTCTTTTCTCTTCTCTTTGTTCTTATCGTGTGCACTCACACCAACATGCGCTCTCTTTTTCTCTCTTTCTCTTACTGTTGCCGCTGACTTACAACATTACGGCGTCTTGGTCCTGTTTTCAGCTTAACTTTTGACCTTTTGCTGTTATTAATGCGTGTGCATATTACGTATCGCCTTCTTTGACATTTACTCTGCATATATATTCAGTTATATATTGCCCGCAAATACAAGTCTTATCGTACACGCACAAACACACTAACACGCACAGACACAGCAGTCAAACACCCTTCACCCCTACAACACGTACAAGTGGGAGGAGTTGGTCGTTGTCGTTGTCGTTGTCTGCAAAAGAGTGGGGGAACGTGTAATGAAAAGAAATCATGTAAATGATAAAAGTTCAAAAGAAGCGCATCAGTATTTTGAATTTTTATTGTTACACTTACACATCTCACGCGTTTTCATTAATAATAATGGTTTTCCAGTTTCATTGCACAATACACATACAGAAACACAATGTACATACACATACACACAAACAAAAACTGCGTTTCTGCTTCACATAATTTTTTCTCATCAATTGCTGCTGCCTACTGACTGCACTTTGAAAACAATACACCGACAGACGGCCGCGCGCTGCGCTGATTTTTATATTTAGCTTTTTAGCAGCTTTTCATTGCGGCACACACACAAAACAGCCGAATTTTCCGACGACTTCCCAACATAAACAAAAAACTAATGTAAATGTATCCAGAGTGACCAAGCACTTGTAATGTGTATATTTCATGCTGCCAGATAGTTGAAAAATAGAGCACTCGCTGTCAAACAGTGTGTACACATCGCCGACGCATATTAAAAATTACAGTGTGTACACGTGTTTTGTACATTCTGCATTCTCCGCCGGCGTGAATATTTTTTGCAATCAAAAGGCAGAATTAAAAAATAGAATATATCACATCCGAATTGCAAACTGTTTAAAAGAAAACGAATTAATTGAATAACTATTCAAAGTGCACTAGTGTGTTAAATAAATAAGAGCTAACCAATTGGAATTTGGCGCCGAATTTGTAGATTTTTCTATTGCCATTGCGGCATTGTGTGGTGTGTATAACAAGATGGCGTCCTCGCAAGTCTCAAACAAATCGGGCTCCGGTTGGCCCCGGCGCGGTAGCCAAGGCCAAGCAGATGCCAGCATCAGCAACAATGGTACACAAAAATATGCGCCAAATCAAGCATTAACCATAAATCGCACAATCAATCTGTGAGTAGTGTCTATATACGCTCATATTGAAAGTAACTCAAACAAATTTGTTCATCCCTTTAGTTACCCATTAACTAATTACACATTCGGCACCAAGGAGCCGCTCTTCGAGAAAGATCCATCTGTGCCGTCACGCTTCCAACGTATGCGCGAAGAGTTCGATAGAATTGGCATGCGTCGTTCTGTAGAAGGTGTCCTGCTAGTGCACGAACATGGCTTACCACATGTTCTTTTGCTGCAGCTAGGCACCACTTTTTTTAAGCTGCCAGGCGGTGAGCTGAATGCGGGTGAGGATGAAGTAGAAGGTCTTAAACGTTTGCTTTCTGAGGTATGCTTGTAAATATCATATAACTTCTAAATATATTAATATAACGTTAAATATTTTACAGACGCTGGGCCGTCAAGATGGCGTTAAGCAAGATTGGATTGTCGAGGACACGATTGGCAATTGGTGGCGCCCTAATTTCGAGCCACCACAATATCCATACATTCCACCACATATAACTAAACCAAAGGAGCATAAGCGCCTGTTCTTGGTGCAGCTACACGAAAAGGGTAAATATCCAATGCGCTAGCGAAAAGTGTTGTCCAAAGCGTAGGTAATAATAATGGCAAAAAAAAGACAAGTACATTTATATATAATTTTTTAAACATATAACCTTGTATAAAGTTTTTGCCAAACCGATACGCTAACAAACCTCATGTCATATCTTTTCAATGCTGTTTAGATACGGACAGGAACGCCAGTTACGATGTACCCTGAGCTGTTCCAAAATAGCGCCGTGTTGTGTTGTGTAATCTCACGCATCTGGCATCTGCCCAACCAAGCATAGAGCTCTTCCTCAACGCTCTACTCTCAAGAGTCCAAAACAAACTGAACAAACAAACAGAAATGAAAAGAATCAGAAACAGATCGCATAATGGCCCCGAGGCGCATACAATTTTAATTAGTTCGTCGATTCTAGTTCAAAACTTTTTGTACAAAACTTTTACTTCAAATTGTATTTGTTGCTCTCTAGAGTTGTTGGCATATTTTGCGCATATCCCAAAATTCTTTGATTGTTCATGTTGTATTAATTTTGTAAATATGTCGACATTTCTGTAAACCAGAGAGCGCAATCCTACACACGATACTCTATCTATCTATTTTGTTCATTTTTGCATTGTTATGTGTTGAGCCTTTCTATTGTAATCGGGCAGGCAGTGAATAGTTTAGCTGAGAAGTGCATTGTAAAAGTTGCCGGTTGACGTCTGTTAATGCGCACAAATCTCGCGTGTTGTGCTGATTTGCGTGCATGGCAAATGCAACTGGACTAGGCAGGCAGTCGTTAGCCGCTCCTTAAATAATTTTTAAGCACTCGTTTATGTAACAACAATTTAATAACTCTGTGTTTATAGTACTTCCTTGACATCATCCATTGTGCAACACACTCACCTTGTATAATGAATGTTGCTTTTAATGGTAATCGAAATTATGTTCATATAAATAATTACTAGACTTTGTTTGATACACAAGTTTCTAGTAAATCCATGTGTATTGAATTATATGATTTATTTTGTGCATCAATAACGAAGTCTAGTAAATTAGCTTAACGAACTATCAATGAATGTAAAAACAAAAAACAATACCACAAAAAATTACAAACTTTTATATATCATACGTAATTACGGCAGCGAATCTGTAAATTGTTTTGTATAACCAATTGTAATTATTTAGTTATTGCAATAATCATGTGATTTACAACCCTTATTATATCTAATGCTCTCTGCTACATACATAAATTCTGTCTCTATCGTTTTCTGTAATCTAGCACTATTTGCTGTGCCCAAAAATTATAAACTTGTTGCGGCGCCCCTATTCGAGCTATATGACAATTCACAAGGCTATGGACCCATTATATCATCGCTGCCGCAGGCGTTGTGCAGGTGAGAATCGTATTGCGATCGATCTATTCATTCATCTCGCTTAACATGTTTTTAATATTCATTACAGATTCAACTTTATCTACATGTAAGGCGAAGTCGCAGATCCCCAATTCTCCCTAGATAGGCTGCATCACCAACGATAGCTCTACTTTAAAAATTTACAGCACCTCAACTGGTCGCATCGCCAGTAGATGATTTCCATTTCATTTGTATATGTGTGTGTGTTTGTATGACAGATTAAATGGTATAATCCCAAGCGGCATGTAGCTTGGCCATACAAATAGAACTTGAAAGTTTACTTTATTTATTTTGGACTATTATTGCGTTTACTTAACTAAATATTACAGAGTACATGTTAAGTTGGTTCAAGAATGATATTTTAAGTATGTTTGGGCCACTTATAGTATATATTCGCTATAGAGCTGCTCGTAATAATCGCGATTGCTGCAATGGAAGATACGCACAGTTTGTGATTATCAAAAGTATTCGCTAATATGTTATATGGTATTTATGTGACTGTTAACTAAATTGAACTACAGACTGTTATTGTTGCTGAACTAACATTTAACTGCGCTGTTAAGTGCGAGGGTGTAACAAATGAACTAATTAACAGAGAACTAAAAAACATTACAAGCGAACAACAAAAATGAACTAAAACAAGAAGGAACCGTTTGCGTCTGTCTCTAGGATTTGTTAATAATTATATCTTAAATGCTAGTTGCTTATTCATTGGTATGCATATTTTATGTTTTTATGACACGTACAAAAAATGTAAACATATTAGCAAATATTGCTCGCAAATTTATGCTGATATCTTGTGTAGATGACTTTACCACAATTTATTGTGATAGAATTTTAGATCGTTATAGCCCTGATCGGTCAAGCCGCCAGTTGACGACACCGTGGACATGGCATCTGTGTTGTCCTGGACGGGCGAGGCGATGTCATTGCCCAGCGGGCGATTGATCTTTACTACACCAAAATCTTCGCGCTCCTCTTGATTGAATTCCATCTTGCCGCTAGGCATAACCGCCATGCCCACGCCAAAAGAGCGATTCTTCATACCAGTGTGTTGCTTGCTCAGCTGAAAAGCTGGTGGCTTACGATTATCCCCGATAATGCTCTCAGCCGCCTCTGGCGAACGCACGGGAGGTGGCGTTGGGGTGTAACTCTTGGGAAGTGGTGTTGGTGGAGTAATCACCTCCTCAGGCTCAGGCTCAGGTTGAGGTTCCGGCTCTGGCTCTGGCTCTGGCTCCTGTTCCAATTCGTATTCGATAACATTTTCGACCGTCTGCAAATGCTGCAACTGCAATTGTGCGGCAATTTCTGCAATCTCGTTGCCTCTGTTGGAAAAGTTAACAGAGGCTATTAAATAACATAATACATAAAATAAATCATATTTAAATTTAAATTCTTGATTTTATTGCACGACAAATGAAAATAAATTTAAAAAAATAGTGCGAAAATTTAAAGAGTTAAAATAAAAAAAAGTTACATAAATGTAATCACAATTATCAGGTATTTTGTGTGTAACGGTTAAAATATCGAACCGATGTGAGCGTGTGTGTGATGAGTGTCTTAGTTATGGGTGTGCGGCAAGTGCAGCCTCCTCTCTTCTCCGTTATTATTAACTATATGATAAGGCAAAATTATAAATAATTTTCTATAAAAAATAAGAGCTTTGTACAATTGTTTAGTTAACATTTTTTTGTTTTGTTTTGTATGAAATGCAGCCACTGGTGCGTATGCGTAATTATTTGATTCTGAAATATAACAAAAGAAAAATTAAACAAAAATGAAACAAAGATAGAACCACAATAATAAAACATATACTCGGCAAATGTTAGTAAAAATATATGGAGATAGGTGAGCCGAACGGCTTTACCTGTTAGACTCTGCGCTGCCTCCACCGCTGCCCTTGCCGGAACTTGCGCTGCCAGCATGAATTATCTGCGCGATATAGAAATGAGAACCAAAAATATTAGAGACAAACACTTAATAAACTAGGTCATATTTACACAAACATTAGGGGTAGTATGTTATTTAGTCAAACTAAACCAAACCAAGCAAAATGCAAATTAAACAGCTCGATTAAACTCAGCTCAGCAGGAATTAATTTATAAATAGCCACTCGCACAAATTTAAATACAGGAAAATCGAAAGCTTTTCTATTATATAGTTTTAGTGGATACCCCTGCCCCGTAGCTAACGCCTTAAATCTAGCACAAATGTCAAGCGAAGTTTTATTTTCTACACGAGTCGCCCTTAAAAACAGCCCCTTGGCACGCAGCCAAAATAACTTTCTCTTAGGGGTTGACCCACAGAAGAAATGGCCAACCCCAAAAAATTCCCAGAATTCGTATCAAATAAAATCTGCAGTTTATTTACAGTGAAATTTCGTGTCAGAGCATGGAAGTTTTAGCTGGTCTAGCAGAGAAATAGTCATTCATCTTTCGACTTGGGCAGTATTACGGTGGGAAAAGGTGTACAGGGAATTTGGTTTTGTTATGTATGTCGTACACACACACATGTTTAGTATATATAGAGTGTCTTTTGCTAGATGCGCTATTACAGTTGTTGCTTGTTTCTTTTTGGCAGTTTGTAAACTTCAAATTTGGATGCATCGTGAGTCAACACACACACGCACACGCATCTAAAAATGAGCTGGGTTTACGTTAATTTCATCAAATTGAATTTCGTATGCCAAAGATCACACAAGAATTCCTTTTTCCATTTCAGATTTTTAGACTTCATAAATATAGGATTTTTGGTTGCTGATTACTGCATTGGCATGCCAGCATCGCCATGGCCCAGCTCAGGTGTGCGCACCAAGTAAATGGTGGTCTGGCAATTGGGACATGTCGTGCACATTTCAGCAGCCGGTGGCACGGCGTTTGCCGCCTGCGAGGACTGTGGGAGTAGGTGGTTAATCAATTTCATTTATGATCAGTTTTTAGGCAACATCAATTTACGTAGCCCTGTTGCTGCTGCTGCTGCTGTTGCAGCTGTTGATATTTGCGTGGCGACATCTGTGCCGGTGGTTGCTGTTGCTGTAACATTGGCTGCTGCTGCTGCTGCTGCTGCATCTGAGCTTGAGCTTGAGCTTGAGCTTGTGCCTTTGCATCCTGCTGCCCCAATTGTTGCTGCTGCAGATCCTGCTGTTGCTGGTGCTGATGTTGATGTTGTAAATGGGCCCGACCGGTTGGATAATGATCGTGGCGCGTGGGTTGACCAGCAGCTGGTGGCTGCACGTATTGAGGCGCTTGCTGTTGAGGCAACGGCTGTTGCGGCTGCTGTGCGGGCACAACTGTCGCTGGCGCCAACTGCTGCTGCTGTTGTTGTTGTACCGGCGGCTGTTGCTGCTGTTGCTGCTGCTGCTGCTGTTGCAATTGTACTGGTGCCGGAGCCAAGTTGGCCGCAGACTGCTGTGGTACCTGAGCAGCCTGAGGCGGCAGCTGCTGCGCCGACTGTTGCATTTGAGACGGCTGCTGTTGCTGTTGATATTGCATTTGCATCTGTGGCGGCGCCTCTTGGCCAGAGGCGACACGAATGGGCGCCACAGCAGCATTTCCAGCCGGCTGTTGATTGCTGGCTACAGACATATTACCTTCCAGACCCGAATGACGCAGGCGTGCGGGACGGGCAAAGGCATTTGAAGCCAAGAAAGAATCATCCACATCCTGCAAGCCTGAACGACGTTGAAACGGATCCTGTCGATAGGTCATGCGACTCAAAGCATCCAATGGACTCTTGCGTGGCTATTACGAGGGGTTCTCTTTAAATTGACTACAAATCAGATTCAGCTTGTTGCTGCAGCTGCTTACATTATCCACGCTCTGCTTGGCCTGGCTGGGCGTCAGGCTAACCTCACTGCCATACTTGCGTGCCGTATTGGCGGGCATACCAGCAGCATGCCTAGACTGGAAATCAAAACGGAACTATACACGACACACACTACACCCGCTTCGAATTAACTTACGGCAACGCTCGTCTTGGAGGCGCCTTGGCGAGCATTTCCCCGTTTTGGATCCATATCAGTTGCAATTTCAATTCAATAAAATTATCACACAAAAGTTTCGCGACAGTACAAATTTTTTTTAGTTTTCAGTTCTGATTTTTTAAAAATGACGCAAATCTAAATTTAATGATTTGTTCAGAAATTAAAACAAAAAATCGTTGTGAATTGTGTGAAGTAGAAATGTTAACTAAAAAGCAAGAGTTCAACTCAGTGGCAAACAAAAACCAAACAGCAGGGCACACTTTGATCGAAAAGGAATTTATACTCAAGCACAAAACACAATTGAAAACAACAACAACATTAAATATAAACAATTACAACACTGACTGATTGCTCGCGAAACAGAAGGCTCTGGTACACTCAAGCTCCACTCAAAGCTCTTAGCTTGAAAGGTGAGAAAAATGTTTTAATGTTTGAGTACCTCGGCCATGCTGCATGTGGGTCGCGGAGCGCCATAACGTCCATTGGGTGAGATCTGTGTTATTTGCTGCAGCAGTGCCGCCTGCTGCTGCTGATGCTGTTGCTGTTGTTGTTGCTGTGAATCGCTGCCACGCCTACCGAAACGCTTCTGTTTAGTGGTATCATCGCCCAGGTAAGTGGCCCCAAAGAGATGTGTGTTAGGACTTGATTGATGGATGGATGGATTGATTGATTGTTGTTGTTGTTGATTAACGTTAGTAGCAGGCGCAACATGTGAATTGAAAATAATTCATATTTAGTATAGTTACTTAATTACATAGGTATATTATTACAATTATAATTAGTTACATTTAATACGATTCGCTCAACTTGATAGTCAAATATCGTGCTAAACTGATATAAATATTAATTAATATAAATCTCGTGATAAACTCAAATAACTATTAAAAAAATATAATAAAAAAGAAAGAAATGAAAACTTGAACTTGTATTGCCTGATAGATTCAATGTTCAAAGCGTAAATTTAATTTAAAAGTTTTGAAATTTACGAAAATTTCTGTTTTATTTTTGCGTATAACTTTTGCAGATTTTTGTAGTATTTTCTCTTAATTCAATTAAACACCATCTCTAAGCCATTTGAAAAATAATGAAATATAGATTTTAATGTCTTGAAAACTGAACTTGGAATGTCTAAATATATTATTATTATTTAATATTTTTATTTATTTGTATTCCCATTTTATGGGGCTTTATATCAGTGATTTATAAGTTTACCACTCAAAGCTTTTTAAAAATATCTATATAAATCCTGGATATATCAAGTTGTGTAAAACATATCAAATTTAAATATGATACATACAGATAGGAGCAGACTTATAGTATATATATATATATATATATGTGTATATAAATAGTTGTCTAGTGAAAGCGCAAGCAACAAGCCACCGTTAATAGATTGCATAGGATTGTTTTGAAAGGCTTATTTATCGATAAATGCTTTTCCGCAGGCGATCAATTTTATCGCAGACGCCCACTAAAGAAACCGGCACACAAACAATGGGCGAGTTGTTGGGTCGGATGTTTGCGTGCGATATGCAAATGTTGTTGGCCAAGAAATGGGCAACAAAGCCAACGGAAATGTTTCCTGCAAGGCGCAATGCCTCAATTAACCCACTGCCCTGCCCTGTCCTGCACCGCCCCCATTTAACTTACCTGTTTGTTATGTGCAGTCCATTCTTGGTGCGCTCCGGCGATTCGGCATGTCCGTTCCGTGAGCCCTTCTGACTAGCTCCATCGCTGAAGAAGCCCTCGTAGAGTACGAAATTATTCGCCTGTGGTATGGTGCGTACCAGGCCGTAGTGCTTGCTTAGAAATGCGAGCAACTTCTCGGACGGCCGATCTACGGAGCACTTAAGTGGCGTCCATTGTTCCTCATTCAACATGGTCTCGAACAGACGCTTGCCTAATCCCGCACGCTGACGCGACTCATGTACGTAAAAGTCCAAGATTGAGGGTGACTGCTCCATCTTGCGAGTCTGGCCCTTCTCGTCGAACAAGTAGAGGTCCTTGGTGCCAACCTTGAGCAGACCAATGACAGCGCCACTGTATACAAAAAAAGGGCACAGTATGGATATCTGGATGATGATGAGAGTTGATAAGTTGACTCACTTGGGGCCTGCTTCAGTGTCCGCCAACAGATATATGGTCTGGTTCTCCGACATACGCAGGCGTTGAGCCGTTGTCACTGGCTTGTTCAAGCCCTGCGATATGGCCGACAACTGACCTAATCGATCAATTATCTCGGACATCTTTGAGGTGGCATCTCTGTGTGCGTGAGTGTGGAAAGCGTAACGGTTAATTGACTTACAACTCGAATTGGGAAAACGCCCGCGTACAGTTTCAATACTCACAAGCACTGACGCCGATCACCTCGAAAGGTGTGCGGCAATAGATTGGATGCCACTTTGATAATTGGCTGCGGAAACAGCGGCTTAATATCGAAACGGAATTCCACCATAATTGCGACAGCCGATGAGCGTATGGAACAACTGAAAATGCAATTGAGAATGCCAATTAAATAGAGCATTGCAAAAAGGCGCGTTCTAATTTGACTATAAACTGCTTTTTGGTTGTTGCTGTTGTTGGCGCATCTCATTTTGGGTGCGACCTCGCGTGGGAATCACCGCAACACATGCCATTCAGCTAATTCAGCAGTTAGGAAACACCCGTCTAGGTGTGCTGACAGGCAAATTGCCATAAATAAATAACTGTCTTAAGCAGCACTGCCTACCTACACGTTTGCCGATAACTGTGACCGTGTAATATGCGTATTCATACGTTATCGGTGTCATTCAACTAATGTTTGTGGGTGGAGGAGCATGGGAAAGTGGAACACAATGCGGTTACAAAACTCTTTTATGGTTAATTTGCGAGTGCAACGAACTGATGCCGACAGAAAGAGAGCGATAAGCGCTTTTGTAATTACAATTGAGTTGAGGGGGTGGGGCAATCATTTCGAGCACATGCAAAAGTTTTTACCGCTGCTACTTTTTGAGTAGTTTTGTCAGCCACAAACTTAAACAATATGGTGCAGTTGCAGGCAGCGTCAACGGTGCAGTCGGCGTCGCTGCACAGAGCAGTTCGAATGTCAAAACGCGATAGCAACAGAAACAACGGCAACAGCAGCAGTAACACCGCACAAATGACGTGTTTACATTGCTCAGTACAGCCCCCAGCAGAGGGGGGATTGCCTTGCAGTTGACGTTCTTGTTGTTTATTTGCCCAACAGCAAACTGTTGACGTTGCTATACACAGACTATCTCCCTCTCGCTTCCGCCACAAAGTGCTTTTCATAACTGTTCATAAGCTAAAGCGCATGATCTGGAACAAAAACAAAAACAAATGCAAGAACAATGCAACGAGACTCATAAGGAACGCGCGCGGGTAACGGGCGGCACTTCTTTTAAGCTCATCCGTCTTACATATAATCATACATATATATATATATATATATGTGCGCTTTTGTAAATGTGTCAAGTAAGTGTGTATGCGTGTTTGCGTGTAAGCGTGAGAGCAGGCAAACGAGTTGAAATCGCGTGTGAACGGCACATGTGAACGAGTGTAAGTGAGAGGGTAATACATATACGCGATCAAAGCTCTTACAAGTGAACCGTTAATCAGCAATAAATGCAGTTGGAAACAAAACGCTTGACAACTTGCATTTTTGTTTAATCGAAAACAAATAAATTACAAATCAACCGAACAGACAGATCGCAAATAAAAATGTTTCGCTTATGCAATTAATATTTGCACGCCCTGTGATGAAATTAAATATAGCAATTGCACGGTCTTCTGTCTGGCCGCCTAATTATTTTATTTATTTTCGTCTAGCAACTGATTAAGCGTTGACTGAAGGAAAAAACCAAGCCCTCGCCTGAGGCTTGCGCCGGTGCCTCACAGGCTAGGGAACCCCTACATCCCCTGCTCTACTTCAATTTGTTTGTTGTGGGCGTGTATTAAATATATAGTAATATGATTCTACGACTTCTCGATTCCAATCAAATAAATAGACGTCAACGTGCCTCAATTATTTGCCAAATGACTAGGCTGAACAACGATGTATATACATACATATATTTATATGTCCATAGGCGTATTCTATTATCGAACCTTAGTCACACACACGTGGCTGACCAAAGTTCTATAAAAATAAATTGTATTGAATACATATGTACATACAAACATACGTGAATGTATATATTCACATATGTACGTGGGTCATTATTGAGCCTAGTTTTGTTCCGACACGACAGAAATTTAGCTAGCCAAAAGCAAGAGACTTGAGTCAAATTTATGCAGCAACAAGGTCAATCGATAAATGTAAAGCAAGTTGCCAAGGTAAGGGAAAAGTTTGACGCCCAACAACCGGTGCTGTTGAATTTCTGACAGGTGTTTGTTGTCCAAGGCAACTAGGACTAACGACGACTTGCCAATTAAAACTTAATTTTTAACTACTGTGTTCAATTGAAGCCTTTAGTTATTTTGATCTTTCAATATGCACGCAATGGGATTTATTGTTATCGATGGCTGCAACTGCATACAAAGTGCACAATCGCTGGCAATGAAATATATTTGCGGTCTCGGGCCTGTTGTTGTTTACAGCACGCTTCGCAACCGAACTGAACAATGATCAAAACAACTTGTTATTCTTCAAAACAGCAAAAAAAAAACACGACTGCAGCAGTATTTAACCACAGCGAATGCAATGTCAGTTTCATTAGTTGCTGTTGTTGTTTGCTTTGCACGCGCCTTATGATAGTTTTATCTGCTGGACAAAACGAACAGCGCAAAATAAGAGAGAGAAAAAGAGAGAGGGCGAGAGAAAAACACAACGAAGAGTATAGTCACCAATCAGCGGCATGATACGTTTTTTGACGTAAGATGTAACGTAAAACCGCATTGCATCAGCTCTAAAAACGCGCCCCTGTATACTGATGCACACATGTATATATAATATAAATTGATAGACGTATGTAGGTATATATTTTTTTCCTCATCAATGAAAAAAAAGAAAGTCGTTTATATATGTTGATTCAGCCATAAACTTGACCACAAATAGGCTGTATCGGTTTTCAATGGAAGAACACTATCAACTGATTAGACAACACAATTCCGGTTCTCAAAGACCAAATTCACTCCTGCGCTCAAGGTTTTTAACAACACGAATTCGGCACAAGATCCCCTACACTCTAATCAGCTATGTTTTATTGGCCCGCTTATGATAAGAGAAGAACGCCAGACATCAATAGGTCGTAAAACCGGCTTAATCCGGTTTCAGTAAACACTCGAGCAGCAAGTGACACTTTTTTTTCTTCATCCATTATGATTTTGATAAAGACAAACATACTTGGGTTGTCTCGCTCACGCACGCCTGTGCAAAGGTTGGCTCACGCGTTAGAGTGAAGAGAATTTGGCACATACAAGTAGGAGATCTGATAGTCGGTGCAGAGTTGATATCTATAGCAACTGTTTATCGTCGAACATTGTAAGTGTAACAGCAAAACACTCACGCATACAAACAAACCAGTTGAGTTGTAATTGGCAGTTATCGTATGATCGCCCCATAGTCATATGCACACATACACACACGGAATGGTCAGCGTCGCGACAATTCGTCTGTCAGCTGCGAGAGAGAACGAGAGAGCAGGCGAACAAACTAAGGCAGCGCTGCACTTGTATTTGTTTGTTCAAGTTTTCTTATAAAGGCGTGGGCACGGACTATTGGAAAATCAGTTGTAAGAAACCAGTCAACGCGTATAGATCGAAACGATCAAATACAATTTACAAATATATAAATTGAAGAAAACAGCGCGTTTTGTCAAACAAAAAAAAAAAAAAAAAAAAAAACAGCTGAGCATAACGAAACGCGCGTGTGCAAAATAGAGAGGAAAAAATACATGTGTGTGTATATATAAATATACACAAACACGATTTACAACGGAAAATTTTTTGAAGCGACAGTGTGCGAAAGACGCAGAATCGTAACGTAAGCAGAACCAAGCAGCAGCCTTTACGTAATTAGCAGAATCAACGTGATATCCATACGAAAAATGAGCAGCTCAGTGTTAAGCATGGTACGTCCAAGTGCTGCCACCAGCAGCTGTGCAGGCCCCACAGCAACAGCAACGGCCACACTGCTCGCCCAGCAACTAAATGCGGCGCTAGCCAACGGTAAAAGTACTGTAGCTGCTACGCAGCCGAAACAGCCGCATCAGGCCGCCAAGATAATAAAACAATCGGACATCGTTTGCTTCGACGTAGACTCTACTGTCATCTGTGAGGAGGGTATCGACGAACTGGCCGAATTTTGCGGCAAGGGCAGCGAAGTGGCCCGTGTAACCAAAGAAGCCATGGGTGGCAGTATGACCTTTCAGGATGCGCTCAAAATACGTCTGAATATTATACGCCCTACACAGCACCAGGTAGCCGAATTCATCAAGCAGCGTCCCAGCACTCTCAGCCGCAACGTGAAGCGTTTTGTGGCACAGCTGAAGGCAGATGGCAAGCAGGTATATCTCATATCTGGTGGTTTTGATTGCTTGATAGCACCTGTGGCCGCCGAACTGGGCATTCCACTCAACCACATGTTCGCCAACAAAATGCTCTTCGACTACAAGGGCGCATATGACAGCTTCGATGTCACACAGCCCACATCTCACTCAGGTGGCAAGGCGGAGGCAATCAGCATGATTCGGAAGAAGCAGCCAGCAGATACACTTATCACAATGATTGGAGATGGCGCCACCGATTTGGAAGCTGTGCCACCGGCCAATAATTTCATTGGCTATGGCGGCAATGTGGTGCGAGCGGAAGTCTACAGACGTGCCCAGTATTATATAACAGACTTTGAGCAGCTAATGTGAAGGTGGAGGAGGAGCAAACCACAGCGAATTTAGTATTGCGAATCGGCGTGTTATAGTGTTTAGATCAAATAAATTAAGTATATAAGCCTACATATAAATAAATTTACATACATACATACATATAAATACTTTAATATGCAAGTGCACAAGTTTATAGTCGCTTGGAAAACAATAAAAACGGCAGTTAAATGAAAGTAACAATTGTTTTGTAAATTGTTTTATAACTTTTCGAAAGGAAATCTCATACAGTAAAAATTTGCTTAAGCGCACAGCTCATTGTTAAACCAGATGACGAAATAAAATTACGTAGAGAATCAGCCAAGCAAAAATAAAAATAGTGAATAAATCGATGACCAAAAATATTCTAAAAAAAAATTAGGCTATTTGCACCACAGTAAATATTTCTATTTACATATATACATACATATGTGTATACAGTTTATTGCCTTTTCCAAAAGCATTTAACAGCCCTGTTAAAAAGTAGAGCAATGCTGTGATGACACTTTCTATTCGCTCTGTAGTTGCTGTTACAGTATCATCAAAGCAGGGCGTGAAATGGAAACAAGAGTTCGTCGCGCTCTTGTTTAAGGTTAAATTAAAAAAAAAATGACCGCAAAGGTTAAAGACATTAGGCACACTTTCTAAACGCGATTCAACTACAAATTAACTAGCCGGTGATTCTGTTATATATTACAATTATTTTAAACTATATTATTAAGCTAAAACAATAGGCGAACAAGGTCGTGGTCGCGTGGGTGTTATCGATAGCCATGGCGATAGCTATTTAACGGCAAGAATTGTTGTTTGAGGGTAACGTCATTGCTTTTAATTTGTGCCTGCTCTAGTCTAGCGCCATATTAGGAGCGTTTCGGCTGCTGTATCAAGCAGTAAAGGCGTGAATTAAGGCTAAATTAAATGCCTGGACCGTTGGGCGGTCAGGTTTGAAACGCTTAGAGCCGCAATTAGCGGAAGCCACCAAACGTATGAGATCACAAACAACAAAAACTGCGTAAAAGCGTAATTATGTTTCCAGTTATGGCTTAAATACAAGTGTATTCCTATAAGTGTGTATGTGTGTATAAGACTCAAGATTTCATGGGGCTACCGTTATGACGCAGGCCTTTTGGCTACAAATGTTTCATGCAAATGACTCACGCACACAGTTTCGGCTATGTCGCTATATGTGTGTTTGCCATATATATATATATATATATATATATATATATATATATATATATATGTGTGTGTGTGTGTGAGTATGTGACTGCTATAAAAATTATTTCAACCTGCAAATGATGTAAAAATGGTTTTATGCTCACTGAGCCGCATCCAAAACGGCAACAACCGCACGCACACACACACATACAGTGGTTCACAGCTTATTTCAACCAGCACCTTAAAAAAAGTTTGTTGGGCTATAAAATCTAAACTATTGAGGGTATCCCGAAAATTTAAATGTAGGTTGTTAGTGTGATGCTTAAACTAATAAAAAATCAATTCATTTATTTTTTAAATATTTTTTCAATATTTAATAATGTTTAAAAACTAAAAAATGAGACCAAAACAGTTCCACAGCTTATTTCAACCACAAACTTTGCAGCTGATGAAAGATCCGTTATTTTGCAATGCAACGGTAGATTCTTGTTCTATGCTTTATTCACTGTTTTCGCAGTGTGATAAAATAAATTTTTGCAGAATTTTGAAAGCTCAACTTTCAGAAAAGTGAATTTAGCAACATGGGACCACGCACACCTATTGAGCAGCGGGAACTCGTTCTCAAACACTATAAAAATGGTCATTCCCGTAGAAAAATTGCTGAGATGGTTGGATTTAGTGATTCTACAGTTCAAAGCATCATATACCGGTTTGTCCGTGAAAATAGAACCCACGATAAAGGCAGAAATGCTCCAAACAAAATTTTTAATCCCACGGACGAGCGCTATATTGTGAGAAAAATCCGGGATAACCCAAGGATATCGGCTCGACAAGTAGCCAATGATGTTAAGGAGGAGTTGGGCAAGTCATGCCACCCAGAAACTATTCGCCGTGTGCTTCGGGAACATGACTTTAATGGCAGAGTACCACGCAAGAAGCCTTTTATAAGCGACAAAAACAAGAAGTGTCGCTTAAAATTTGCCCAGGAGCACTTGCACAAGGACATTGGATTCTGGAATACTGTTTTATTTTGCGATGAGTCAAAATTTAATTTGTTTGGGTCGGATGGGCCCTCATATGTGTGGCGTAAGCCTAACACAGAGCTTGACGCAAAACATTTGAGGGCTACAGTAAAGCATGGCGGAGGCAGCCTTATGGTTTGGGCCTGTATGTCAGCAGCCGGCGTTGGGAACTTAGAGTTCATTGAGACTACGATGGATAAAGGCAAATATCTTGATATTTTGAAGTCCAATTTAATTCAAAGTGCTCAGAAACTGGGCATAAAGGAGGACTTCAGATTTTATCAAGATAATGACCCGAAACACACTGCGGGAATTGTCCAGACTTGGTTGATCTGGAAATGTCCGCACGTTATGAAACCACCAGCCCAGTCACCAGATTTAAATGTAATCGAGAATTTGTGGTCGATTTTGGAAAAAAACATTCGCAAACACAATATATCCAACAAATCGGACCTAAAAGCTGCATTGGTTGAAGAATGGGACAAAATTACTCCAGAAGTCACCAAAAAGTTGGTTGAATCTATCCCAAAAAGACTTAAAATAATAGTTAACCAAAAGGGTGGTCACACTAAGTATTAATTTCTTATTATTTTATGTTATTTTAGTGTTATATAATGTTATTTCATAAGTGGTTGAAATAAGCTGTGGAACTGTTTTGGTCTCATTTTTTAGTTTTTAAACATTATTAAATATTGAAAAAATATTTAAAAAATAAATGAATTGATTTTTTATTAGTTTAAGCATCACACTAACAACCTGCATTTAAATTTTCGGGATACCCCCAATAGTTTAGATTTTATAGCCCAACAAACTTTTTTTAAGGTGCTGGTTGAAATAAGCTGTGAACCACTGTATATATTCACAGACAAAAGACTCTTGCAACAGAAAGTTTGATAAAATGGCAAACAGCGCAAAAACCCCAATAAACTTACCACAACAATAATAAACTGCAAATACGCTTATTTTATTTATATATGGTTTTTATGGTCAGACGCCGTATGAACGTTCCAATCAGATTCCAAATGCACGGCTGCTGTTGCGTTGGCGTAACCGCTGCAGAGATTTGCGTTTGCTTGATGTGAGGGTGTTTAACTGCAGTTGCGACTCCGGCGCGGGGGTGTTTGCCGACAAGTTTTGTTGCTTTTGGTATTATTGATTCTTAATTTAAATATCTGAGGCCAAAATGATAGTTTCGAAATTTTTTTGTTTTGAACTAGACTTCACTATTTTTTTTTTGTCTTTCACAAATACAAATAGTCTGAAGATTGTGGCACAAGAATCGCAGCGAATAACGCTGTATTGTTAATACACAATTTAAATGTAATATATTTCTTATTTTAATTTAAGGTAAGCCTTTTTTGTAAACCTCGGTCAGCTTCAGATGACGGCGCTTCGATTCTGAAAACAATTTCTGTGTATGTATATGCCCCGCTTGAAAACACAGAGAACCGACACGCACGATTAAGCGTCCGAGCAAACGTTGTTGTATGTACGAGAGTTAAATAAGATATAAGCTTTATATTGAAGCTTTAACGTGCCACAAGCTTTTTAACTAGCAACAAGCTAAACCGAGACGTTGCTTATAGCAGCTGTTTCTTGTAGAGTTTGGGCGATAATTGGTAAACAGACTGTGGCGGTTGTACGATAAATACATCAGACTTAGTTGGGCACACTGTCAGCAGATCTGTTAAATATATAAAATGCTTTAAAAGGGTAATTACTAGCTACTATAGTGTTATAAATAATGTTACTTACATTGGATAGCACATAAAGCCAACCCTCATACAATGCGTTTTCAGTGGATTTTGTAAGTTAAGGATTCTGTTAAATAACAGCTACTTTCGAGCCAAATGAACGCCTTCTCAGAACTACAGTTCGTTCATTTAGTTAAATGAGTCATTCGATCGAACTTATTCCGAACGACTCAATACAACTCTATACACAAAGGACGCACAGGACGCACACACGAAATACGCATACAGAAACGAAATGCCACGGAATGGCGGCGATGCCGGCAACGGTGGCACAGGCTCAAATGCCACTAGCGATGGTTGCATCTATCCCGACGATGTTATATTGGAAAAGGGCGTAACATTCAATGTACGCTATACGGGCTGCGTTGAGGTCAAGACCTCCATGAAATCACTGGACTTTGAAACGCGAACTCTGCTCGCACGGTAGGTGAACAAAAAAAAAAAATTTCCAACAATCTCTGCAAGCTTCTAACAACATAAACAAATTTCAGGGAATGCATTAATCGCGTATGTGAAGCAGCTGGTCTGAAGTCTGTGAGCAAACGACGTCTGGACAAAAAGTTACACAACTTCATCTCGGATCGTCCCAGCATGGAGCATGCGGGCACAAATATTATTATTAACGTATCCAGTCGTGCTCTAACACTGAGTAATGTGGAAACAGGCGAAATGATTGCCAATCACAATATGCCTCGAATTTCGTTTGCTTCCGGTGGTGACAATGATACGCTCGACTTCCTAGCCTACATTGCCAAGCGGGAGGGCGATGAATGGCGTGCCTGCTATGTGTTGGAATGTGCTGGCGGACAGAGTGAGGATCTGATTGTGACCATTGGCAAGGCTTTTGTGTTGCGTTTCAATGCGTTGAGCAGACAGCAGTGTGCAGGCGCAGGGGCAGCTACCATAGATAACATTAATCTCAGCTGCAAGGAGAATGTAAAAGAGTATTACAATGACCTACCCAACAAGCTGCCGCCGGATCTACCTTGCGAGGAACAACAGCTGCAGCTGCAACAGCCACTGGCACAGGCACAATTACCGCTTCATCCGCACGCTCCGCGCGTTGCCCAGTTGAATTTGAAGAAGCCGCGCGATCGCTTGAGCAGCAATCTTATTGATCTTAACTCCCCGCCACCCGATCAAACCACCAATAAACTCTCACTTGGACATTTTGATCCGTTGCAGGCAGCTTCCGTTGCAACAGGCGTGGCCACAAATTCCATACGCGATGTTTTCGATGGGCCACAGTGTCCACTCACTGCCGAAATCTGGTTCCATGCGGCTATCTCGCGACCGATTGCCGAACGCCTGCTTCAGCAAGACGGCGACTTTCTTGTGCGGGAATCACAGGGCAAGCGTGGGCAATATGTATTGACTGGATTGGAGGGGAAGACACCTAAGCATCTGTTGCTCATCGATCCAGAGGGCGTGGTGCGTACCAAAGATCGCATATTCGACAGCATCAGCCATTTGATCAATTACCATTGGGTCCATGCACTGCCCATAATTTCGGAGGATTCGGAGCTGGTCTTGCGTAATCCGGTGCGCAGACCCAATTCGGAGCAATCAACTGACAATGCATAAGCAACATATACAAAACTTCATATACCCTATACATATATTTATATCAATATATATATATATATATTTGTGTACACACTTAGATTTACATATGTGCACTTGTAGAGAATATCTTTTATATATCGTCGTATCATTGTATAAAGAACAAACCCATTTATTTATGGATCGAATGTATACATATTTATATGTGCATGTCTACACAGTATTTTTCATTAAAATGAAAATAAACCAACCATATGCATTTACTTATTGATAATCCAGAAACAACACAATTATTGATTTCTATTTTTGCATTTCACACAGGATGTTTATTGTGTTCCAATGCAAGATTTTTTCTTTTATAAAACAGGATCACCATCTTCCGATTTAAACCTAATTGCGACGTCCAAAGTTGTTGGTGTTGGGCTGTGTGAGCTGCAGGCCACGAATGTTGTGGAAGTCCAACAGCTTCAACATCTCCTTGGTATCGGCATCGACCTCAATGATGTCCTGCTCCAGAGCCGAGACAGCGGGCACGTAGTTATCACGTCGCTCGCGCTCCTCTTCCTGCAGCTTAATGGAAATGCCGCGCACCTGGGAGTGACGCAGACGGCCCATCAAGTGGGTAACATAGCTGCGTGAGTGAAGACACGGCCACCAATTAGTAATACAATCCTATTTACATCAGCTTCCAATCGGACTACTTACCCGGCAATCTTGTTGCGGAGGGGCTTGGTGGGAATGATGGCAACCTCCTCGCAGATACGCTTGTTGGTGTGGAAATCCAACGTCAAGCGTGTATAGTACTTCTCGATGATGACCTTGGCGGCCTTCTTCACTGTCTTGGTTCTGACGCGACCCTAAATTTTTAAAGTTAAGAATTGGTTGGAATACACAGATTAGTTTGCGGCTCTATACACATAAACAATCAAGTTTCTGCCCCAATTCTATTGCTGGGTTGAATGAAATTTCACTGCGCTTGAGCGCGGCACATATTTGTCCACACATAGCTCAACATATTTGTGCTTTTAGTGTGATGATTGCATTTTTAAATTAAGTTTTTTATTCAATTTTTGACACTTGGACACCCACCATTGCGAACGTTGTTACCGGAAAAGAACAGAAAAGAGCAGCTGTCAAAATTACATCTTTTGTGTGAATTGCATGCACAGGGTTGTATGCGCTGTCGCTTATCGAAAGCAAAAGAGCCAATGTGACTGTCAAAAAGAAGAAGCATCGCGGTAACCAAAGTAACGGAAAAGGTGCGAATTTATTTGGTTCGCAATTTTCAAATAAAAAGTGGGTCATCAAATGAATAAGTCCAGCAACAACGATGAGGAAGGTGCTGCTTCTGCAGCATCCAACTCAAATTCAGAGGAACAACAGCAAGCGGGAAATATCAATGGCAGCGCTAACGGCTCCGATTTTCAAATCAGTTTAAATGATTTTCTCGATTTTCTCAAACTTTCCTGTCACGTTAACGATATGATAACAAAAGTTGAAGGCAAGCCATATAATCGGGAGCCCGTGCCGCCCGCCGAGAGTCTTGCTGGTGTCTTCGCTAAGCGAAATTCAAAAAAAGATGAATTCGATTTTAATAGTTTGGCCGAAAATGAGCTAGTTAACGGATTGCTCGGTCTGAAGCGTCAGCAGCGACTTACGAGCAGTAGCAGCAATAACAACAGCAGCCGGGATGAGGCAAGTCGCACAAGCCTGCCGCTGTCGGATCCCACGTCCTCGATGCGCACCGGACACATACATACCGATCGTGGCCTACATCCAAAACTACGTGAGCAATTGGACTATGTCATCAATGAAGGTGTCCTGGACTCGGTGTTGTCTTTCATATGTCCAATGCCTTTGCCCGTTGCCTTAACCTCCAATGGCGGTCGGGGAAAAGTGAACAAATTGCAGCCATCGCAACCATTGCAGTTAATAAAGTCGGATCCCATACCAAGTCCAGTTAATTTAACAACGCCCAGCTCGAGCTCGCCCAGCGTCCATTCATCCAGGGAAAGTCCAGCGGCTGAGATCCATACTGGAAATAGCGTAGTGCGTGCATCTGTAAAAGAGCCAACTGGCAAGGCATCAACGAGTACAGGCACACGACGCAAATCCTTGTTGCTGGTCAAGGACAGTAAACATTCGCGTCAGGATAAGAAGGAGTGAGTGAATAAAAACCTACTGAAGCATTTCTCCTTTATCCTTATATACTTTCAGATCAGAAGTCGTTATACACGTATGCGATGAAGTGAAGAATATTTCGCGTGATTTTACCTGTCCGCAGGGTCTGCTGGTAAGCAAGATGGGTTACTTTGCGGATGTTACGGCTGGGCAGCGCTTGGACGAGATGGACATATCGGTACATTGCGACATACAGATCTTTGACTGGCTGATGCGTTGGATCAAGAACAGTGCTCAGAGCCAGGAGCTTCCAGCACCGGGTCAATGCAGCTCTTCTGGTCCCCAGCTGGATGGCAACAATGTTGTGCCCATTCTGGTCTCAGCTAGTTTTCTGCAAATGGAGCCACTGCTGCTGGAATGCTTGTCCTTCTGTCACGCCCATCTCAGCGAGGTGGTGCGCACTTCGACAAATCTGTCGTGCCTTAATGATGCCTTGGTGACACGTTTGGCTGCTATGTTTACCAATCTAGAGCTGGAGATGGTGCGTGATAAGAAAGAACGTGTTACCCCCAGACTGTGGACAAAGCTAGTGCAAAGCTTGTGCGAACCGGATCCGGAAGTACTGCGCGGGCATTTCTATAGCATTTCTGGACTGTTTCGGTGCGTGCGCTGCTGTCGCTGTGTGACCAACACGATGAAGTCCCACGTGAACTGTATATCCAGCAATATACGACTCAATCGTTGGGGGCAGCTGATCAGCAACCATGTGCGCGACAACAACTGGGATCTCAATGTGTACGTGATGCAGCTGTTCAAGGAGCTTAAGTCGTGGCGAAAAGTCTACTGGAAGTTGTGGGGCCATTGCCATTATCTTTATTGCTGCACGTGCGAGGCGCATTTTCCGGTCTATCAAATGAGCTGGTGTCGCTATCATCCAGAACCGCCCCATTTCCCCGAGGCCGAGGGGCGCATTGCCGGACCAACTGGACGCTACGCCTGCTGCAAGCAGCAGGCATTTCGCTACGAGACGTTACCAGGTCCAAATGTAAAGTATTCCATTTGTCAATATTTTAATTATTTCAGTTAAATAAGGTGTATCGTTCCTTATAGGGCTGCCAGTTTCGCGAACACAGCGTCCTGGTGGACACAGATCGGGAACGTGCAATTCTAGCCATTGCCCAGCTAGTTAGTGAGAACTATGCGATGTGCGAACAGCCACCGTTACATTTGCAGGAGCTAGCCGCTGCGGGTGAAATTGATCCCAATTGGATGGGTATCTCATTGACGCCACAACGTTGTCGCCAGGGTCTGTTGCCGCAGCTCTGCATGGACAGTGGGTTATGGTTTCTTCGCGACATATAAGAATCCCTTTGATCATCCAATTCAATATCTCTCACAGTGACCAATCATCGTGTTAGTCGACGCTGCCCCTATGAAAACGAGACCAGCTCCGAGTCAGACACTACCTCAACCAGTTCGGAGGATACGCGCCTTCCGCGTGTTCGCAATCGCAATGCCCTGGTCGGTGATGACTACTCCTCGAGCAGCGATGGCTGCGAATCGGATCATCGACCGCCGCCACGTAAAGCCCGCGGAAAAAAGAAACGGAAACGGTAAATAAAATTATCCGTGTGTGATGCATTTATTCATATTACGATTAGGGCGGCTGCTGTCTCTGGACGTTTCTGGTCGGGCGAGCTGTCGGCACGCAGCAATCAGGATCATCAGCGTGACTTTGAGGAGAAGATCATGAAGCAGGTGACCAGCTACGTGACCAAGAAGACGGGCTCCGATCAATGTTTGACACACAATGCCCAGCCACTGGGCGGCACTTATATGCGGCTGGAGACCGAGTGGAAGGAGATGCTCAAGCAGCGTCACAGCAATCACAATTTCCAAACTGGTAATGCTAGCAACATGGGCACAGCTGCAGGTGGTGGTGGGGGAACTGCAACTCTGGGCAACAGCACTAGCAATCAAAATCTACACGCTGGGCTGGGCGCCACAGTTGGAAGCATTTCCGGTGGCTCAACCGCTGGGCAGTTGTCCAAGCAAAAACACAAGTAGACTCCTAAATCGAATAGAAAATAAAATGTAGACAATATTAGCAGTAGGAATTGTAGAAAAATGTTTGTTTAACCTTCGAGGTTTACACTACGCAAAAAAGCAACAAAATTTTACAAGTAGAAAATACACGTAAACCATAAACAAATGCATAAATCGAATATGAACCATAAACATTAAATCTATGCATATTTTACACTTTAGTATCAATATTAAGTGTGTTGCATAGTATTCTTTGAAGCAACTAATCAATAGATCTCTCAGTGCATTTCTTAATAGTTGTTTATTATTTAACTTAACGCAATTTACAAAGATTTTTATTATAGATTGGTTTTTGTTTTTAACTTTAAAATTATTTTTTTTTGCTTTGCTTTTTGTTGTCGTCGGCTTGCGACAAATAAAACCGGGATAAAGATTACAAATTGTATGGTTATTTTGAAATTTGCAAGTAATTTGTTTATATTTTTAGTTTAATATTTTTTCTCATTTTAAACATAAATTTGCGTATTTCTCTTTTCGTGGTGTTTGTTTTTGTCCTCGCTTAACAATAAATGCGGCTGCGCAAACGGAACCCTGGGTTCTACTTCTATCATAAAAAATATATAATCAAATGTCGTGGCTGGGCTGTGCCCTAGGCTCAACCTGTAGCAGGAAACGCAACACAATTTTAAACATTTCAATGTAGTGCACACCGAAACAAATAAAGAATTCAACAAAAAGAAAAACTGTTGGGCCAGCCGGTACTCACTTTTATTTCACTTTACGGGAAGTTTTTATTTTTTTTTTTTTCAGAAGATTTTCTCTTTTCCCTGTTAGGGAAAAACTCGCGTAAAAATCTGATTTTTGCCAAGTGAGAACCGGAGTGGACCGCGAGCTTTTTTTTTTTGCAATTACACAGTAAATGGATTTGGAATTTAACAAAACAAAAATTAAAAATTTCAATAAATATCGTGTGAGCGTGTTAGTGTGAGTGTGAGTGTGAGTGAGTGTGAGTGTGTGTGTGTGTGTGTGTGTGCGTGTCAAGGTGTAGAGTCTTTGAGTGTGTATTAGTGTATCTGCCAGTGTGTTTGTGCTCGAATAATATGCCAGCTATTTAAAATATATCGGCTTTCGGTTTTCCAACAGAGTACTTAAAATTTTGCATTGTAATTGTTTGTTTTTCGATTGATTGGTAAACGAGAATTGATTGAAATGAATGCTCTTATTGAATTTGCTACTGCTGCTTCTTCTGCCTTCTTCTTCTGCTTAACTTGTTGCTGTTGGTGTTTTGCTGCTGTTGTTATTTTTATTGTTGTTGCTGTTGTTGATGATGATGTTGTTGTTGTTTTTATTGCTGTTGTTATTGTTGATGTTGTTGGACGATGTGCCGCAAAGCTAACTGAATAGACACTCGGTCGCCTTCTCCAAATTCCAATTCTCTTTGGATAATACAGCGCGCGCATCGTGCTCATCGATGCCCATATCCTTGAGACGCTGTATCTTTGAATCACAATCGGGAAACGTGTTTGGACCACCGGCATATGCATTGGTCCAGTGTCGGGCAGTTAGTACAAATAGCTCATGCTTATCCTTAAATTGATATGCGACAACTGCATCCTGGGGATCATCGGGTTCGGCAGCAGCTAGCAGCGCCTGCAGCGACAATAACACCGTACGCAATGTCATCGCAGCAGCCCAATTATCCTTCAATATGTCCAGGCAAATGGCACCAGTGACTGATGAAATGTTCGGATGCCAAATACGTGTTATAAAGCGCACCTGCAAACAACTCGTATATAACTATTTGTATATATTATATATAAACATATACGACTGGACACTCACCTTTGGTGGATTGAATGGGTATGTTTCGGGTACTTTGATTTCCAGTACGAATTTACCGCCCTCGTAGGGCGTGTCTGGCGGTCCGGCGATTTCGCCGCGTAGCTCTGTCCAGCTGTCATTGACCAGCTCTATTTTGATCGAGCACTGAACGATCTATAGATGGGTTTAGATATACGATATTAGTATGAATCGATTAATAATGTTAATGAAATTATGCAATTTGACTGTTTGGCCAGGCGCGCGCCAAAAAGAAACATAACTATGTGAAGCAAAGTCCTTGACTTCTCCCCATATATATGTATATCTATATTTTTATATATTTATATACATATACGTATAAATACATATCTGCACACTTGTATATGTTCCGTTCGGCCTACTCACCTCCTCGCTGCGCATAACTTCTTTAAATTCGCGCTTGATACGTGATACGGCCATGTTCGCCATGATTGTGGATTTTGTTGTTGGGAGTTCTTGTTGTTGTTGTTTAGCTGTCGCTAGATTTTGCTGCCGATTGCAGAGTTCTCGATTGATTGTTGATTGTTGTTTTAGTTTGTGCTGTTGTTGTTGTCGTTGTTGTTGCGTAAATAACGCGCAGTTCGTTGATGCTGGGTAAAAATTTATGATATATATATAGACATATATATTGCAGCTAAGTGGCGGCAGCATACAAAAACAATACGAAACGCTTCTGTATTTCAATTATATTAAACTGACACTTTTCTCAACAAACTGTGCACGTAAGCCAGGGCTGCTAGACTATCGATAGACATTGGCAGTCAGCTGCTGACAAGTGTGACCCACACTGTATAACTGAAAAAATGTCATAAAGATTAAGTTTTCGATATGTATTTATCGCTGCTGTTAATGGGAGGAGTTTATCTGACAAGTGTTTACTCGTTTGCTGTTAACCGTTTACGCTCAGTGCTGTAAAGTGTTGACATATATTTCAAATTAAAGCGCCGAGCTAAAATGGTCTACATATTTTATTATCTTCTTTTGTTAATGCTAAGGATATATATTTCCACTTTACACTTGTTTAATACATATAAGCTATCTAGTTGTTACATATCATAGTGGTGGTACAGTAATTTTCCACAGCCAATTTCAAGGTTCCGCCTTGATCCCTCAAAACGAACTTGATTTGACCTCAGGTAGAGACTTCTATTACGCATTGGCAACCGTCTCATTTCGGTGGCAATTCAAAACTCGTTTTTGTCTCTTATAAATAACAAACACACGTCTAGCTTACTGTAGGGTTCTCGACTGCTTGGCAACAGCAGCCAAAATAATATACAGATCTTCAATTATGCGACTCAACACTATTTTTTCATTCGTTCACGTTTCACAAACAAAAACAAAAACGTGTCCAAAATGTGTGCGTGGGGCCAAAAGTTGCAAAACAAGACGTGTTTAGCTGTTTAAAATAACCCAGCAAACAGCAAACTGTTTTTAAGGTCATTCGACACGTCTAGACTATGTCTGCTCCAATTTATTTATATATATATCCACTAGCTTTTAACTAAGTTTTTAACAATTGGTCAGCATGTTTCTGTTTTAGTTTGCAGCGCTTGTTTTCTGGGCACGTGTTTCATTTGTTTTCTTTTGAACAGACGTTCGTCGGCCCCAAGCTCCATTAAAAAAATATACAAAAAAGAAACAAAGCGACTTGCCGGCGCGCTTACTCTTTGACACTTGCTCTCTCTCGCTCTCCCCGATACTGGCTCTCCGTCTTCCATTCTCTGCTTGTTTCTTCGCGCTCTCTTTTGCTTGGCAGTCAAACTTCATGACTTCGCCGCCAATGAAATCATTCAGCTTTTGCATTTTCATTGAAGCGGCTGCATTCTAAAGTGCCAAACAAAAGAGTAAACGCAGATAAGTGAAACGTGAGTAAGAAAGAAAACCCCAAAAAAAGAACCGTTTAAACGCCTAATTTGTTTGTGTACCTAGTTATTTACGAACCGATTTGTTTCTGCACATGTTTCAAGTAAGTTGAATTTTATTGTCAAAACGTGTTTGTGTGTGTGTGTGTGTATGTTTGTTTGTGTGTGTGATTTATTCTGCTACACTATTTCTAATTGCATAGAAAACGTGCGCTGTCAGCATTTTAGAAGCTGACACGTGGTTGCTTACCCCAACCCTCTTATTTTTTGAATGAATGCAGCGACGCCATTTGCATATGCGTCAACTATACAAAGACACATACACACACGCATATATGACCACGGACTACGTCAGCGCCTTCCTTTTGTAAAAACATTTTAGCCTGGCATTTTAGCAGTGGCTTTAGTTCATTTAAATTTAGACATGAAAACAATTTGACAAATCTCTGCGTATTTCCATTTCTCTTTTTAAGTACAGTTGTACTCTCTAACAAAGCAGCAAAGACGAGCCCCCCAAAAATAAATTGTTTCTGTTGGGATCATTAGTTTCGGCTAGCTTTAATAAAATCGAATGCAAATTTAAATGCATTTCCTGTAGCCCTCGCAATTGCAGCTAAACAGCTGTCCAACAGTCAAAAGGAAGAGATGAAGAGAGCGAGAGAGAGAGAGAGCGAGCGAAACAATAGTCAAAGCTTCTTACGCTAGCATTGCTCTGCGTCTATTAGCGTAAATGTGTGTGAGTATATGTAGGTATGGTGTGTGTGTGTGTGTCTGAAACGCATACGCCATGTACGCGCTCAGTTGTTCCAATTGCTCACTCGCTGCTGGCGGCGTTGCGCTTAATTCTGTTGTTCTCTACGTCTAATCTATTGTCATACTTCTAATAAATATACTTATAAATCACAAAAATATATTATTGTACAAAGCTGTGCTATTTTTTACGTGCGCGCTCTTTGCTTTATAAATTCGCCGTCCGTTTCTCAGTCGTGTATTACCGTTAGCACCTGACAAAATAGCGGCAAATTGCGCGCGTAGTGTTGAACATCATTTCAGAGTTTTCAATCATTTTGTCATCATGCCAGATACAAACAGTTTAAAATCTGATCAAAATGGTGTGTATTGCGTGCAAGGTTAAATAGGTATTTCACGGCCATTGTAAAAAGAAAACCTCCTTACCATCTATACAAACAGCTGTTCGGTTTGTGTCGTGATAAAAGCTTTTCGGCACGCGCCTGTTTGCATGCCAGACTATTTTGTTTTCGCTGCATTCCCATAGATTCGCTCTCTTAAAAGAGAGCAGAGAATGTAGCGCAAGGCTTTATCAGGCTACGTGCGAGCTTTAGATTAATGTTTTGGGCACTCAGAAGCCAGAAGAGCTAACAGTGTTGCCAGACTGTATTTATTTACACTATTAAAGTAAAACATATTAAATATATACTTTCTTTGGGTAATTTGGCAATAAATATTTTTTGCTTTCCAGCAACTTTGAGTGCTAGTTAATTTCAATTTTTTTCCTTGGTATGGCCACAACACACACAAAATTCGCTCACTCACACAGGTTGCGACAGCAATACGTCAAAATAATCACATGGCAGCCACTTGGGGTGGCTTTGCTGAGACTCGTACTATTTCACTCTCTGTCTCGCACTCAAAATGTCCATACTGTTGCATGAGATATATATATATACAAACAAGCTTTTCGCTGCTTACGGCTGATGTATGAATGAATATTTGGCGCGTGAGTGTGAGAGAGCGCCAATGAAAGCATTGCTGCGCTGCTGCCATTGCCTGCTTACATATACTCATTACGCTCTATTACAAGCACTCTCTCACTCTCTACGCTCTCTTCTCTCATTTCCACCATGCACGCGCACACACATACACGGAAACAGCAGAGGCAGAGCGAATGCGGCGACGTCGCTGCCGCTGCTTTTGCAAAAAAATTTTTATAATAAAAACTTGTACTCGTAGATTGTGTGATGCCAGTACGTTCTGCTAATCCGATACGCGCTAGAAGTTTGATCCGAGACAATTTGGAGAAACAGGCTGGTTGTCTAAATCTAATACACTCCAGAATGCCAAACATTAAAGTGTTTTCGGGCACCTCGCATCCGGATTTGGCGCAGCGTATTGTTGATCGTCTTGGCATCGACCTGGGCAAGGTGGTCACCAAGAAGTTTAGCAATTTGGAAACATGGTAAGTACACACACGCACATATACAAAAAACGAATCGCGTGCGCCAGCCGTTTACCAAATAAACCAACAACAAGAACAACAGCAATAATAACAAATTGTGTGAAATGTGACCCCGCTAAATATGTGTGATAAGTGCTCAAAAATAAATTTAAAAAAAATTGTGTGTCCATGTGGGCAGCAGCAGCTCCTTGACATTCACCAGAGGTTGCTAAGTGTTTGCCATGCGTTTTGTACTGTGTGACTGGAGGACGGCAGGTGAATGTCTCCTGGCTGCAGTTTAGTAAATTATAGCATTTTATTTTGTACAATTCTTTTAATGGGTTTCTTAATACAGTTCGTTTTGTGCTTTTTTATTTTTATTGATTTAACAAGTGGACTGTACACCGTAGTCATTGGTTGCTTGCCGTGTGCTTGCCTTTCTATATGCATGTGTATGTATGAGGCTCACGCATACACACACACACACTCAAACACATATTTAAATACTCAGTCAATCGCACAAACACCAAGAGGAACGCGCTCTGGCTACATCGAAGCTAATGTCGCGTGCAATTTGCTTGTCGTCTGAAAAATTTAAATAATATTAATATAAGTAAACCAAATAAATTTATTAAATTATTTGATTTATATTTAATTAGCACATGTGCGTTTGCCTTGGTCTCTGTTGCTGCGCAGCTTCAGCTTCAGATTTGCTTTTGCTTTACACACACACACACTCACAAGCGACCAAGTCAGCTGCTACTCCAACAACAACAAATAATAATAAAGTGTCTCGGGCTGGCGCCTTATCAACACGCACACATTGAAACGCGACACATGCAAAGCGGCCTGAAAGAATTTTAATAGAATTAAATAAACGTTGAAAATGATACAAAGGAAATTAGCAAACAATTATAGTGTAAGGGGGGAAAAAACAAGAAAAAAGAAGGCAGGCAAAAGAAGTGAGTGAGAAAAGCAAGAAAAATTAGAGGTTATAATATAAATAATGCGCGCTAAGCTTTTTGACATGATACGCGCTAGCCCAATGAGCGTGAGTATTCCACACGTACAGATGTATGTGTGTGTGAGTGTGTAAGTAGTGCATACGCATACACACGTTTATGCATGTATTATGTTATGCTCTCGCATACATACGCAACGCCACGCAACTCACACATAGGTAAACTCCAAAACAGAAGCAACGACAGGCAGTCAGGGCGCAGACAGCAAAAGCAACCAAACCACAACACGACACTGTCACGTTTTTTCGCCGCTAACTGAGCGCGCCAGAGAGAGCGTACAAAAGAGAGTCACTTATAAGTCAGCCGATGATGATGACGGCGACGGCGACGGCTTCGGCGACGACGACGTCAACGCCAACGACGCCCCCACATGTTCATGTTGCTGCTGCCTTGCGCTCACGCGTTTCCACTCTCTCTCTCTCTCTCTCTCTCTCTCTCTCTTTCTCTCTCTATGATGAGATGGTCCCACGTGTGTGCTGTAAGCGCAGACACAACAACACGGTGGTTGTGCTAATTTATGTTGTTGTTATTTGTGCTGCGCACTTGTCGGCTTGTTGTGGCTCTTTCTGGTTTGTTCTCGCTGAGCGCTGACAGCAACAGTGTAACTAATATGTTCACAGTTAGATTACTCGCAATGCTCTTCTTCTTTTCCATCGTCTTGTTGTTGATGTCGTTACTGTTACTATTTCTTTTGCACTTTGACTTGATTGAAGCGTGTCTTATGTGCTGATTGGCGCTACAAATTTGTTATTGTTGCCCCTATTAGACGCACATATGTATGTATTTATGGGTTACAATAAACGACAGCGCTTGAAGGGCGCTTAGATGACGTCATGGAAATTTATATTGTTTGAAACAGTTACGAAATTTCTATTAATTTAATGGAAAATATTATGAGCCACAATTTTATTATATTTTCGTTTGAGTAATTGCCATTCATAGCTAATTTAAGGCTTAGCCACAAATGACCTTGCCAAAGGCAACACAAAACCCGCCGCCAATGCAATTTTTCAATAACCAACAACAGCCAACTAAATGGCCATCAATTCTAAAGGTCAGAACACGCAACTTAACCAAGACTAAAAAAACAAAACTGAAAAATAGTCGATTACAAGTACAAATTGAAAAGTTTGATCGATAAGAAATTTGCGTGTTGTCCGTAGTGTGAGGCAAATGGGAGCAAGGGCTACATCTGGTAACTGATAAGTGGTTGAAAGCCAAACCTATTTAGATGTCAAGATATGGCTTAAAGAGAGCATCTAAAGCTTATATGATTATGAGCCAAAAGGAAAAAGTGAGGCAAGACGACGATACTTGTAGATTACATTATCACTAGCACACACATACGCATACACACACACACATGTAGAAGGCTTGTCAGTTGTCTGACAAAAATAAAAGTCAAACAGCTAGTTAAAAATATACACGAATAAAAAAAGGCAAAACAAAGGAAACAGCTGCTGAAGCTGCTGATGCTAGACAACGGTCTACCCTCTGACAGCTGCAGAGCAAGACGGTTAATACTTGGCCCAGTGCCAGCATAGAGATCCCAAGAGTTGGCCGCAAGAAGCACAGCCAAAGCAGCAGCAGCAGCGTTTGGCATTCTAGCAATGCCAGAGGCGAAAGTGTTTTTCTCTAGATAAAAACCAAAAAAACAAAATGATGAAAAAATGCATTCATTTCATGCAACGTCAACTGCGACTGCAACTGCATTCGCATTAGCATTGGCTGCTAATAAAATGCATTTTGGCAAACGCTAAGCGAACAATGCGGCGTATGCGTAATATGCCGTACTGCCCAGCAATAACAAAAGACAGCTGAGAGCGTGCGACTCTAGTCATAATTCCTAATCAATAGCGATTGGGTCGAACGCTGGCGTTAATGTCCATCGAGCAGTAATTATATATACTTTGTGGAACGAATTGGTGGGGTAGGTAAAGGCAACAAAAAGATATATATGTATGGGAGAAGTCTGTCAAAAATTTGCCAATCGATGGACTGGGCGAAGGCGTTCGATATTCTGGGCGTAGTGCTACACGTAATTCAATTAACCTTCAATGTAAATAACAATGGCAATGACCAAAGTGTGTGTTGTGTGTGTGTGTAGGTAGAAATAAGTAAGAGAAACAAAAAATCAAAACGTAAACAGCACAATAATCGAGAAAGGCAAAAGGGTAGAAGAGAGTAAGTGAAAGCTGTTAAAAGTGAGCTGTAAACTAATCAAGGAAATGGGCTCATATCTGCAGTTCAATGTAATATATGAGAAAGAAACTTAAGGCGTAAGAAATACTTTTTATACTTCAAAATAAACGAAATGTAAGCTGAGCTGTCTTCCAATATATTAAATAATATGATATATAATATATGACATATGACATATGACATATGAAATATGTCTTATGATATATGATATATAATGTATGATATATGATATATGATATATGATATATGATATATTTGTGTATACTATATAACATATATAATGTATCAAGCTAAGTACTATTCACAACTAAGTACTGTGTGCTGTGTATATTACTAATTATTTTTCCAGTTTCATATTTGCTTTAAATACTTGTTTAGCTCTGTTCGTAATAGATTGGTTTTTGTTTAGAACTAAAGAAAGCTAACAAAGTTTAAGGAAAAAGTTATACAAAATCAATGTTTTTTCCTATGAACTTTATCTGTAGATAAGGTCTGCAGTGTAGGAACAGCGGAACTTTGAGATTGTGGCATAAAAATATAATTTTTCGATATGGCACGCTAACATGATTTGTGTATCTGTGAAATATTATCAATCTGTAGGATATGACAATAGCAATTAACTTGTCAATAGTAAGTCAAAAGTAATTAAGGGTAGAAGACACAGAACGAGAGCATATTGGCTTTTAAGTAATGTTAAGCTAATGTATTGATCTCTTGAGATTTGATTTGACGGAAAAATGCATACTTCTCTTTCCGTTTTTCAAATGCCCAGTTCCTAGTTCCTTCAATAATGTTTATGTCATATAGATTTACCGTTTGTAATATGAAATGTTGAAGCCAAAAACCAATATACTCGCTTTTCACAAAAGTAGCCGCTATAAGAACCCACTTCCTATGAACGAATATCTTGAATTTCTTAAGCCAAATTATCGCGTTCATATTTCACCTTGAAATAATTGCAAAGCTGAAAGACTCATGTGTTTACATTAGTTAAACATGCGGAAAGAGTATACAAAAAGACGCATGAGAGTTGGAGAGGCTAAAAGGAACCTTGATAAATATATATTTATATATTTATATATAACATATGTATGTATTGTCGATTCGTAGGTCAATTTGCAGACGAGTGTCAGCAAATTATATGATTTTTGACTCCATCGAGAGTTGTGTTTATATTAGCCAGTGCAAGTGCGACTGCAAGTGTAAACAAGAAATTGGTCGTTCAGCTAGGCGACACTTTATACACACTATGAAAATAGAATCTGATTCTTCGAGTAAACTTTGCTGATTATTTGATTAATTTTCTCGCATTTCAGTGTGGAAATCGGCGAATCGGTGCGTGGCGAAGATGTTTACATTGTGCAGTCTGGTTCCGGGGAGATCAATGATAATTTAATGGAGCTGCTGATTATGATCAATGCGTGCAAAATAGCATCCGCATCTCGTGTTACAGCTGTGATTCCTTGCTTTCCATATGCCCGCCAAGACAAAAAAGATAAGGTAGGTTTGCCTTATAGGGATAGTAGTTCACGCTCTCTCTCTCAATCTGTTTCTATAATATATGCTACAGATATATAACTATATAACTTTCCATAATTCTTAAATTTATATCAACACACACACAATATATGATAAATCAATGCAAAACTAGTTCGGATTTTTATAGCAGCAATAAAACTAACGGCAGTAAAGCATATAACTGTCGAATGTTAATAACCCCAACTATATCTATATATATATAGAGCTTACGTATGATATATATATATATATATATATATATATATATATATATATATATATATATATATATATATATATATATATATAATGTTAATCTCTGTGTGTATTTCTTCTTTTTTTTGCATTTTGTAATCCAAGTTTGAGTTTTTCTTTTATTGTTTTCCCCCAAACAACAAACAACAAGAAAATGGTTGCAAGGAAGCGAAGCTGTTGAAAGAAAATCGTTAAAAATGTGGAAACTTTTTTCTTTTGTTTTAATAGACCTATAACTAATTTAATATCTAAATATTGTACAATTTTACTTATATATATAAATATTTGACTTTTTTCTTCTTCAATTAATTATGTTTATGCCGCCGTTTTCAACAACTTTTGGTGTCTACTTCGCGCTCTCCCTCCCTACCTCTATATCTCCCTCTCTTTCCGACTCTCGCTCTCCCCCTCTCTCACTCTGCGTTTATCTATGTGTATCTGCCTTTTGATCTCTTGGTATATAAAACTATATCGACACTAGTTGCCGGGCGGTGAGGAGAAAGATGAAAACAAAGCAAAGCTTGCCAAGAAAAACTACGATTGGAAATTTAGGGTATTTAAAACTTTCAACAACAACTCGAACTCACACTTTCATTTCAAAGATACAACAAAAAAACTATTAATTTTCAATTTGTTTTGTTTTTCAACAAATCGTACAATTCGTCGGGCAAACGAAACTAAAAATTTCCTCATCAAAACTCATTCAAGAAAGCCAAAATTCAACTTGAAACAATAATTTCTCACCTCTCTGGGCTCTGGGTAAATTGTAAAATCAAAAAACTTTTAATAATATGTTGGTAAAAGTTCGATTCGGTGATGCTTTAATAACTAGAAATATTTATATATATTCCGAGCAACAAAAAAGGTTTTACAATATTTTAGCTTTTGTCTTTTATGTTTAATACACGTGCTGCATGAACTAACTTCAAAAAAGGTTGAAAAAAAAAAAAAACGATGAGAACCTTAAAACAATTGCAATGAAAAGCGCTTTTCAAATTACATTGTTGGCATTTAATATATGTATATAATTTTATATATTTTATTTTTGTTTAAATTTTTAAATTGGTTAAAGCAAATACAACATGAAAATTTCCACATTTTTCTGCTCAAAAATCTTTTTGAAATTTTCAAAAATTTTTGTTTGTTTCCTTTTCGAGCGGCGCCGCTTCATTGCAACAAAAGTATATGATTTAATACTTATATTAACACAATGTTTATATTATTTATACTTATACTATAAGTTCTCGTTTTGCTGTCTGCTCGTTAATTTGTCGTTTGTGCCGTTGCCACATATAGTACACACTATATCATACTATATATACCCTATATACCCTATATACGTATATGTTTATATATAATTTGTTTTTTGCACTTCGTAGCACCTTGCATTTCTGTGTTTTTTCCAACATGTTTTTCAGTTACAAATAATAGACAACAAAACCGGGTTCAATACAATCTTCACGCTGATAAGACACGTATCTCTACCTAGCAACCAAATAGAGTCTGTCCTCAATCCATTATGTCTTTCCGTATGTAACACAGACAGGAGATGGCATGACTGACCCCATTAAGTATATGTATTCTTGATCAGCTTGAATATCAATTCTGATTCTGATGCTGGCTTCAAATCAGCGAAAAGTTTTCTTTTCTTTAATTTATTGATAACCCATTAGTAACGTCATTTATTTAATTTGACGTCAACTGGCTTGGGGGTCTTTCGTAGTGCACAGCGTACTATCGCTCTATGTCAATATCAGTACCCGGTCAGATCAACAATTGTGCACAAATATATATTTTTCCCATAATTTTTCCATTCATTTTCGTCAGAGCTGCGATGCTTAATCTTTAGGAAAAGTGCATTGATGTGAACTCAAATGCGTTTCTTGACATCGAACGATTGTCTGATGGCTGCTCGGAGACATTTATTGTAATATATTATTATATAGGTGGGGACTTATAGACTATAGCTGGCAGCAGTAAATACTCTATCCATATGAGTTCTATAGAGTTGATTTGTCTCTTTTACTTCACTCTCTCTCCATATATCCTAATTAACATCTGAAGATATCTTTAACATGCAATAGTATCAGAAGTCTCTTAGCTATACAAGTTCTACAAGTTTTCTCGTTTTACCCCTCCACAAACTTCTAATAACATGAAATTTAAATACTTTGTAATACTAACTACCCGATCTAGCACCAATTCTTGCACAATATATATATATCCCGTTACAGCACTTTGTATTATTTCAAATATACAAGTTTCAAGTTTTTACTTTTATTTTTAATTTCTTTAAATTTTTTGTTAATTTTTTTTTCACATTTGTTTCAAAAACAATAAACTTTGACTAGAATATTTCACTCAAACAACTTTTCGTTTCTTCTTTTTCTTTTTCTCTACTTTCATTTGTGTTTGATCAAACAACTTTTATGAGCCAAAACAAACCAAAATCAATTACCAAATACAAAACAAAATATGTCTTTAATATATGTGCTTAGGAGTTTTCACCCAGGCAATATACTGTGAGTAGCTATGTCAGCGGGTCTAAGCTTTACTTTTACTTTTAACTAGCTGCCGGCGACAAATATATCTTTAATCTTTAATCAATAAACACAAACAAAAAAAAAAAAAAAAACAAAAAGAGCTTAAACAATTTTATTCTAATTTTTTGTAAAGCAGTTCTATTTAAACTTGTTTTTCTTTCAGTTTTTGAATTGCATTGAAACAGTTTGACTAATATTAGTTTAAACATTAAACATAAACAATGCATGTTAGTTATTTTTTGTAGAAATTTCTTAGTATATATAATATATTTTAATTAAAGTTCGCACAATTTAATGTCTCTGGTGCGCATTCTCATTGATCTGCACACTCTCTCTCTCTCTCTCTCTCTCCCTCTCTTTCTCTATCTCGCTCTCAATTGAACATTGTTGTCCTTTGTGTTTGTGGAAAGTCTTCGTTTTAGTTTTTGTTTTTGTGCCCATTGGAACGTTACACTTCTGTTTGTGTATATATATATCCATATAACTATACGATATATTTATATATGTTTTTTGTACACATGGTTAACTCTCATAAGATATAAATATATATAATCTATATTAAGCTAGTTTACTATCTACGCTAATGATATACATGATTTTCTTCTGTATTTTCTACGCTGGCCCATGCACAGAGCCGTGCGCCCATCTCGGCGAAATTGGTCGCGAATATGCTATCGGTGGCCGGAGCGGATCACATTATAACCATGGATCTGCACGCCTCACAGATTCAGGTGAGTCTAGCATCAATAAAACATCGTATACACGGCGAGGGGGCATAACACAACAATTTCGTTTTATTTTTGTTGTCAATGTTTTTGACCAATTGGAAAAAGCCAAAAAAGAATTAAGAAAAAAGTAAAAGTTGCAAAAAATATATATCGTATATATAAATATATGATGTGGGAGGTTGTGAGTAGGCGTGGGGGGATGTAGGTGGGTGTGCTTGGTTATGGGTGTGTGTGTGTGTGTGTGTGTATTTGGGTATGTCTGGGTGGATCTGAGTGTGTGTGCTGTTAGGCAAGAGTCTCGTGCAGACGGCGCTTGCAGTTGCTGCAAGAGCTCCTCATTCGTTGGCTAAATATTGGTTTTTGAGTTGGAGAGGTTCGTCAGCAATCGACGTTTGCATGGAGATGATGCGCACGGATAGTGTGGAGAGATGATCGAGCAGCTGATTGATGCGCTTCTCCTTTTCGAGTATGATCTTCTGGAGATATTGTACCTTCTGGTCGAGGGACATGATGTACAGCTCCTTCTTTTCGTTGATGCGCAACTGCTCCTCGTAGTTGGCACAGGCAACACTCAGATTGTGCGACATTTGGGCACTGGCAGCCATTGCTTGTAGGTCCATCTGCGACTGTGTGGGGGTCTCTGTCACGTTTATATTGTTCGATTTGTCATCCGTCAGCGACATCTGCGGATCGTTCGACGTTTGTGTGGAGCTCTGTGAATGCGTTATTTTTGGACTCGCCTGCTGTACAGCATCGGCATCGACATTGTCTAGGGATTGCGATGACGGCGGCTGGCCCTTGACTGGAGATGCTCGGCGTGAGCTGAACTGTATGCCATCCCGTTCGATGCGCATCAGATGAAACAGCAACGAGCATATGGCATTCAAGTCGCCCGAGGCGAGCAGCTCCAGTGACGGGCGCGACAGGATGAGCCCCGTCTTGCGTAATACCTTCAGACTGAACGTTTCCCAGTTAAGTAACTTCAGTGCTAATTTACCATGAGACGTATAGTTTTTCATATTGACCAACTTGCCAACGACATCCTTGAAAAGCAGCGCCATGTTGACAACATCGGATAGATCGCGTCTGGTGCGATGATTCAAGACGATTTTCTTACCGACCAACCAACTGTCCAGCTCCTGATGTTCCTCGATTGACAAATTGCGCAAATTCGACATCCTTTCCGTTCCGTCAGCTTATGGCATGCGCATTGGCATTAGCATTCGCATTAGATATATGTATATATATACATACATACATACACATATATATAAATATATATATATATATATTTATGTATGTGCTGTTATATATGGAAAAAAGAGAAACGTTCAATTTGTTTTTGCTCCTGTTTGTTTAGAAGTTTATAGCCAGATAAAGGAACAAAAGGTTTTTGGGAATACAAATTAGCTGAGAGTGGAAAAACAATTGTTGTGGAGCAAATGCGATGACAGAATTGTGCACAGCTGCTATATGAATACCTTATGAATATTTTATAGGGCTTCTTCGATATACCAGTCGATAATCTCTATGCCGAGCCGGCGGTACTCAAATGGATCAAAGAGAACATTCCCGAATGGAAAAATTCGATCATTGTATCGCCAGATGCAGGCGGCGCCAAGCGGTACGAGCCAATCCACACTCTCTTATATATGAATATACAAAAATATATACATATATATATATCCATATATCTATATATTTATATGTAAATACTTGCAGTGTTACCTCGATAGCGGATCGCTTGAATGTGGAATTCGCGCTGATACACAAGGAACGCAAGAAGGCCAATGAGGTCGCTTCGATGGTGCTTGTGGGTGATGTTAAGGATAAGATTGCCATATTGGTCGATGATATGGCCGATACATGCGGCACTATAGTGCATGCTGCCGATCGTCTAGTGGAGGCGGGCGCCACTAAGGTAGGCTAACGTTGCTTTAGCAAGACTGTTTTGATTATTTAATGCGATCTTCCTGCAGGTCTATGCCATATTGACGCATGGCATCTTCTCGGGTCCGGCGATCTCGCGCATCAATAATGCCTGCTTCGAGGCAGTGGTGGTGACCAATACTATACCACAGGATGGACATATGCGTGACTGTCCCAAAATACAGGTGAGTTCGTCTACCTCTCGCTCTCTCACATTTTCTCTACAACTTTCTGATTGCAGTGCATTGATGTGTCTATGATGTTCGCCGAGGCTGTTAGACGAACACACAATGGCGAGAGCGTTTCGTATCTCTTCTCAAATGTTCCATATTAAGCGTTAAATGCAGCAACAACAATAACAACAACAATCATAACAACAAGAAGAAAAGCAACAACAACTACAAACCAATTGCAAATAATCAATAGAAATTTACTTGAAAGCATCTTTTTGCCATTCATTCATCGTTATATATATATTTTTATTAACTATTAACTATGAGATAAACAGCAAGATGAAAGCGTCATTATGTAATTATATAAAGTAGCATAAAGTATATAACAACAATTGCACACTTAATTGCCTTCAAAACCAAACAAACATTTTTTCTATTTGTTAAACAATTTTGTTTTTCTTTAAACAATTCGCATTTTGTAAAAGATTATCAGCTCTTAGAGAGAAAATTAGTTGTATAGATTATATAGTTAAAAAAGATACACACGTATACACACACACACACACACAAACACACGAAAAACAAACTGTAATTTTACACTGTGCAACAAGAAAATTTTTTGATGTTTCCTTAAAATAAGTTTTGATGAGAAAACTGCTTTGCAAGTTCAAAACGAACAACAAAAAAAGAAACTAAAAATTTTTAGTAAATTTAAGTAAATAAGTAAATAAAAAACAAATACAATTGAAAAGAAAATTTAGCAACTAGACGTTTAAAACAAACAAACAACAACAAAAATCAACAACAAAAAATAAAAAAAAATTTAAAAAAACTGAGACAAAAAGCTTTTTTTTTAATTGAAATGGTTTGCTTTTGTTATAAGAAACTGTCCTATAAATAGAAAATATTGTATATGATGAGCCTGACTTTCAACTTCAACATATATATATATATATATATATATATATATATATATATATATATATATATATGAATATATATATTTATATATATATATATTTTTTTTTTTAAATGCTTTTTTTAAAAATAGTTTTTAAATTTATATTTTGAAACCCAGTTAGTAAACAAGGTATTCTTTCTTACAATTTATTGATGTGCTTCATTTAATAGAGTTCCTTTATGGATCCAAAGATCTACAATAAGATAGTATATACATATAAGACTTACGTATATAGAAAGATATAAATACAATACTCGAATTTTAGGTAGTGCTCATTGGGCGTTGTAGGGAACGACAGAACCCGGGAAACCAGTTCATTGATAATATACTATATAATAATACTTATCTAGGTTTTTGGTTACAATTTAAAACGGATTTTAGGGAACTCATATATTGAGATAGATTGAGCTGGAATGGATATTTCTGCCTAGAATTCGCCATACTCCTCTTCGTCCTCTTCATCGTTGTTCAGGCCCACTTCGTTGAAGTCCCGTTCGAGCACCGCAATATCTTCGCGTGCCTCATTGAATTCGCCCTCCTCCATGCCCTCGCCTACATACCAATGGACGAAGGCGCGCTTCTTGAACATCAGATCGTATTTGTAGGCCAGGTTAGAAAAGGCCACGCTAATGGCCGTCGTGTTGGAGAGCATGCAGCAGGCGCGAGAGGTTGGAGCCAGATCACCATCCTGGACAAAGGCCGGCTTCTCGTAGTTGATGCCGATCTTAAAGCCCGTGGGACACCAGTCAACGAATTGGATATGCCGTTTCGATTTGATTGCCGAGATCGCTGCATTCACATCTTTGGGCACCACATCGCCGCGGAAGAGCATGCAGCAGGCCATGAACTTGCCAGCTCGAGGATCACACTTCACCATCATGTTGGAGGATTCGAAGCAGGCATTCGTCAGCGTGGTGATCGCATGCTGCTCGTGGGCAGCCCGATCCGCGGACATCAGCGGAGCATAGGCGACCAGAGGGAAGTGTATGCGAGGAAAGGGCACCAAATTCGTTTGGAACTCATTCAGATCCACATTCATGGAGCCACTAAAACGCAAGGAGGCAGTTGTCGAGCTAACTATTTGGGCAATTAGGCGATTCAGATTGTTGTACGCCGGCCTGTCCACGCCCAGTTTGCTCTTGCAGATGTCATAGATGGCCTCGTTGTCCACCATGAAGACACAGTCCGCATGCTCCATGGTCGAGTGTGTCGTTAGCAGTGCGTTGTAGGGCTCCACCACAGCTGTGGACACCTTCGGTGAAGGATAGACGCCAAAGTTGAGTTTGCACTTCTTACTGAAATCATTGGACAGCGACTCCATTAGCAGCGAGGTGAAGCCGGAGCCAGTGCCGCCGCCCATAGAATTGAAGATGAGGAAACCCTGCAGACCATCGCATTGTTCCACAATCTTTTGTAGTCGCGATGTCACCCGATCCACCACATCCTTGCCAATCGAATAGCGTCCACGGGCAAAGTTATTGGCTGCGTCCTCTTTGCCGGAGATTAGTTGCTCAGGATGATAAAGATGCCGGGTGACGCCCGTGCGTACGCTATCGATCACCGATGGCTCCAGATCCACAAAGATAGAGCGGGGCACCTGCTTGCCATTGCCCGCCTCCATGAAGAAGGTGTGTGCATCATTGTCTGAGGAGCCCTGGCCCACGCTCGAGCCACGCCCGCTCTCCACCTGCTGCTCATCCGTTTTGCGGCTACCATCCAGATTGATGCCATGCTCCAGCAGATAAAGCTCCCAGCAGGCGTTGCCAATCTGCGTGCCGCATTGCCCGATTTGTATGGAAATGACTTCGCGCTTTAATAGAATTTTCAAATCAATTTGTGTTCTCAGAGTGGAAGGATCAATGTTTTATTTAGCAGGCTCACCATAGTTTTGTATGCCAAATTACAGCTAATTAATATAAGCAAAACACAATTTAAAATCAAAGCTTTCGTGAACAGCTCGCAAGAAATTCAAATTGAATTTCTTTTGATGGCCACGTTGCAGAACAAGATGGCGGCAGCGATGGCGCTGGATGGATGCCGTTAGAACGAATGGCATAAAGGCGAACTGTCAGAAAATGCTGAATTCGCTGCAGAGTTGCATTTGCGATCGCAATGCAATAGTTCAATTGGTTCGAAACTTGACCAAGTCAGTGTTGCAATGTGCAGGACATTTAATGGCTTTACACATGGAACTTCGTGAATACACAGAAAGCTCTTAATTCTCTGCAGAGTTGCATTTGCGATCGGAACTGAATAGTTTCCACGCTTCGAAACTTGGCCAAGTCAGCATTGTAATGTGCAGGATATTTAATGGCCTTAGAGGTGGAACTGCGAGAATGCAAAGAAAGTTCTTGATTCTCTGCAGAGTTGCAATCACAATCAGAAGCAGGGTTGAAACTTGACTAAGTTAGTGTTGGAATATGCAGGACATTTAATTGCAGCGACTGAAACAGCGAAGAGTTGCACTCCCGATCAACAGTTGGTTTGAAACTAGACTAACCAGTGCTGTTACGTGCAGGACGTAGAGATGGGACTGTATGTGCAGTACTGTTAGCAAAGTCGCATTTGTGATCTACAGCTGGTTTGAAACTTGACTAGGTCAATGTTAAAACGAGGACATTTAATGAGCATTGTTTTAGTGTTATTGTGGTTCTGTTAAATGCTAAGCTTAAAATAATTTCATGTGCAGTGTAAAATAAATTCCTTGTTCCGTCGAATGGCAACTTAAGTGTAGATTGAATAAATATAAATCGGTTTGGGGCAGCCTAATCCTTACGCACACCAGGCGGCAGCGTTACATCGAAAACAATGGGAGTATTGTTGGGCAAATAGTTTATGTCGCACGTGGATGCATTCACATAGATGATCCTGCCATCGCTCGTTATGCCATATCCTTCGTGCACATGGCCAAATACATGGTATTTGGGCTTTACACGTTGCTGCACGGTGCTCAGCAGCTCCACACAGCCCGCTCGCACACCGGAACAGCAGAGATCGCCATGGCCAACGGGCGGCGTATGGGTGACTAGTATATCAACGCCCGCGGGTATTTCATTCCATTTATCCAGGCAGGGAGCGCCTCGCGGCACATTAAAAGCCCAGCGGCAAAATTCTGGCTGCCAGGGCGAACCATAGATGCGCACACCCCACAGCTCAAGCAGCTCATCCTCCAGATACGTGCAGTTGGTTAAGGCCTCGCGTATATTGGGCGTCTTGACGGCGCTCTCCATGCTCTGTTTGTCATTTCCCAACGTGGGCAAATCATCTAAAATACTCATGCCTGTGTGCTTGGAGCTGATAAGGATACAGAATAGCTTAGTAAATAAGTTTAATTTTTGACAACTTCATTCCTACCGGTCTGCATGCGCCTGCCCATTGTTTTGGAAGGGATGTGTAAAGGTGCGATCGAAGCTGAGCTCATGATTGCCCGCAATCACGATTTTGTGTCTGTGTGGCAACGCTCCGATCCAATTGTTGAACTCCACAACTTCTTGTAGCTGTCCACACTTGGTGAAGTCGCCGGCGTGTATGAATATATCACCATCGGGTATATCGAATTTTATGTAAGGCGTTAGTGAATGGGTATCTGACATGCAGACAACGCGCGCCTTATTGGGAGCCACCGTTGTGGTTGGTGGCTTCATAACAACCTTGATGACCCGCTGGCTTTTGCTGATCTCATTCCAGGCGGCGGTTGGGTCGCTGGTTAACGGATGTACGGCAATAGGCAACGTAGCCATTGTTGGTGTACCGTTCACGGCTATTAATACAACATTGATAGTCAATAATGCTGATAAGTACACGGGAATTTGCGGTTTTTAAATAAAATAAACACCGATTCGCCGATAAATATAGATAACGCAAGGCGTGCAAAACAAAAAGTGAAAATCAGCTGTTGTCCAGGGCTGTCAGGGCTGTCACACAAAAAAACAACAAAACACAATACAAATTAGAAAAACAATACTCGCAACCGAATAAGTTATTAAAAAAATGAAATAAATATTAATCATATATGATACTTGTACAAAATATTCGCAATATGTTGAGTTCCACCAGCTATAGATTGTGACGTCATTGCACGTTTGTAGCGCCGTCGCAACACGTCGTTAGGTGGCAACGCTGTATGCTAAACAAAAAACAGCTGTGCCTGCTGACTACTGTATCTTCTGCTTCTTACCACTCACGTATTGTTCATTTTTCGTTTAGACAAATTCTCAAATTTATTTGCAATACGCCAATAATTGCATTTTGTTGTGTTTCATTTACTGCCAAGTGCTAGTGCCGTTGCTCGCCGTCGCCGCAATACGGACGTGCGAGCAAAACTGTATGCACTTCGAGAAAACAAAGATGGCAGCCACTTAGTGTATTAAAAATTGTGTACGCAAGTGTTTTGGGCTCTAAAAAGCAGGCATGGAACAATCATTGGAGCTGCAGCCACAGCCGGATGCATTTCTGGATGGCCTCAGTGCCAGCGCAAACACTGCAGGTGAGTTCTATTTTGGTGCGAGTCAATTAGCTCTGCCTGGGCGCAGCCAATTATTATTTTTCTTACACTCGTTTTAATTGCCGCTGACGTCGCTGCTAATTGTTTACGCCCACATATCAAGTGTGCATTTTATCTGTTTTGTACATGTGTGTGTGCATGCGTGCATCCAGGTGTGAGTATGTTACTACCTGGTACCTCTTGCACCTTGTTTAGTTCTTTGCGTCGGCGCTTTTGCTTCTGTCTGTTTATTTCCTCATTTGTTAAGTGATGATTCACTTTGATTGCGCCTGCTCTGCTCTCTATATACAAATAATGCCCGAACAGCCAATCCATTTGCATTGCCTCCGTCAGTGTATTTGTGTGGCCATTGTTCTTTGACTCGGCCATCATTTATGGCTCTGCTCTTTATTGAGCTTTGACACCGAGGGCTGTTATTTACCGTTTCCACTTACAGTTGGATATGAGCGCATGTTTCCTCTCCTTCGCACACACACACACACGCATACTACCACTGCCGAGAGCAGGAGAGTAAAATTGCAAGACTAAAAATTGAGAGATGATCACTAATACACGCGTATTTCGGCACTGCATTGACCTAGACCTAGTCGTAAATTTATTATGGGTATGCGTGTATGTGTATGTCCGTGTTTGGTCGCTCTCCTCTCAATTCGTTGTGGAGGCATTTCATTCACAAACAGACAATGGACGCAGAAAACATAAACCTTGATAATGACATTCACAATAAGCAAGAACGTCAGTCAGTTTGGTCACAACCTCTGGCACTTATCCAACGGATGTTCTCAGCTGCTGGTGGTGCACAATTAGAAGAAGAAAACAAAATAGTAAAGGCGATAATTTCGCCGCTGCTCGCCAAAAGTCAAATGTCGAGTGAGCTCTATGTGGCGGCACCTGTGCCAATTGCATAAGTTGTGCGATTCTAGCTCAGTCTCCGTCTGTGTTTCAGTTGTAGTCGTCGCCGTTGCTGTCGCCGTTGCCGTCGTCGTTGCCGTCGCCGTTGCCGTCGCCATTGCTGTCGCTGTCCTGAGGCTTCAAAGCTCATTTGTTTGCCAACCCGCCAAGTGTCAAGTTGCAGTGCGTTCTCTGCCTTATTGTAGTTCTTCCTTTTTTTCTTAACTGTTTCGTGTGTAAAGGCGCGTTCCGGTCGCGTGTTCGTCATCGCGTGTGTTTTTGCCTTTTGTTTTTGCGTTTGGCAATTTATATGGCGTGGGCGTGATGTAATTTGCAATAAAACCCGTTAACTAACACTTATAGGTGCGCGGCGAGTTGGAGTGAGAGACATATACGAAATAATGTGCTAATTCCCGAAACATTTTCCTTTTTGTATATTGTACAAACATTTGTGCATTTGTATTTTGTTTCTCTTTTTTTTATGGCTTCCACAGTTAATAATCAAGTTGGTTGTTTATTGTTACAAAAATTGTACAGTTTGCATGATTAGCAAAGCTTTGCGAAATATGACAACAAAGCAAATCGAAAACAAATTGAAAACAAACAAAAAATTGCAAATATTGGTTTAGAAATTTGCGCACTCAAACGCAAATACAAACAAAACAAAAATAAAAATCCACTTCAAGATGATTTATGTAATAAACAGTAGTTTGGGGGCGCAAAACTCGAGAGAACGGGTTATACAATGTAAGCCGCGACGTTTTTTTAGCCTTCAATTGTACATTTGTATGCGATTACGCATACGCAGCGTACTACAAAACTGCGGAACTATTTGTGTGTTGTGTGGGCTGTGTGTGTGCTAAGTGCCATAACAACCTACCAACTACCCTGTTCTGAGCTAATTGCAATGTTGCTTGTTCGTTTTTATATAATTTATGTTAATATCCGAAATATTAGTGAAAACAAACAAGAACAACAGCAACAACAAAAATTAATAATAATGCCAATCATTGTGTTTTACAATTGCAAAAGCTGCCGCTGTTGCAGTCGGCGTCGCAGTCGACGCCACATGCTCAGCTGATTGAGTTGTTGTTACTTTTTATTGCTGTGCGGCTTTTTTCCAATTCGCCGCTCTCAACAGCTGTTTCACACCCCATACACTTACACGCTCTTTGGCACACTTGCTGCTCTCTCCACTGCTCTCTCTATTTCTCTCTCTGTCTCTTGTGCTTAATCATAATTTTAAATATACAATTATCGTTTGTTTTGATTTTGTGCTTTCAATTTGCGAGCGCGCGCGATTTGCGCTCAGCCTTTTTTGTTTTTGCTTTACGTTTGCGTTTCATTTTATTTGTTGTATTACTTATTGCTCGTATTTGTTGTTGACGTCGCTGCCTTTCGCTGCTGCTGCTGATTCTGGCGCTGCTTGGAACTTTTTTGGGCTGCGAGGCGCGCGCGTTTTCGCCGCAGTCGAAATTAGTCGTCGCCTGAGTTCGCCTCGTATTTAGCATTTTACGTTTTCAACGTTTGCGTATTGAGATTTTTATATGTACACACATATGTACAATTGTATATATATATACATATATGCATATATATATAAATATACATATTGTGTTTTTGTTTTAGCCGACAGAAATTGTGTTTAGTGTGCGATGTGAACGTGAAGATATATGTGCTGCACACACCTATGAATATATAAATGATCGCGCAAATATATAAATAAATGCGTTAAATTGACTCGAAATTGTAATTTGACAACCGAATTTTGTGTTATTGTGCTCATGTAGTTCTTGTTGTTGTTATTGTTGTTGTCATCAGCGTCGTGTGTCGATTTCGAATTCAAAACGCTGAGCTCATTTTTTTGAGACGTCTTTAAACTGGCTCATTAGCATAAAAAAGCATTATAAATACATACATCAAGCTGAATTTCAAAAAAGCTGTGAAAATTACAAATAATCGTTAATATTTATATTTATATGAGTGACGCCTAAAAATTAACGAACAGCTGAATTTTTTGTTGCTCTTTGTTTTTTCGTGTTTTTTCGTTTTATATACGATCTAATCTCGGCCCGCAAGTCTTGTGGTGACACATTTATGAGCTGTATGGCCTGTTCTTATCAACAATAGCAACAACAACAACGGCAACAGCAACAACAAGAAAAAATCCTGCTTCAGAAAGAAAAATTAATTACAACTCATAAATATAATTTGTGTTTAGATAGAGCAACAAAGCTCACGTGCCTCTAATTACGTGTACTTACAAACGCCAACGTTTATTTAATCACCTGCCCCTACTTCTGGCTACACATACAGACACACCCACAACAAGAAGTATTATTGCGCCAATTATTTGCGCTCTGTATTCGGAATATTCTCTATTGTTGTTGTGGTTGTTGTTGTCGTGTTTAAACGTTGGAAAAACTGCCTGAGCATCATTTTCCCAGCTGTGATTATTTTACAAATTTATGCGCCAGTTTCATGTTATGGAACTTTCAATGGACACCAAAAAAACTAAAAGGTAACAAATAGAGTTCCTCATTAACATGCAATCATTTATCACAAATATATGTCAAGCATATCGCATATTGACAGTTAAATATTATCTATGTGGGTGGCAAAAATAAGAAAAATCTATAGATATCCATCTACATTCGAATGGAAAAGTTGAGAAAAGCTCTCGCTATTTATATTTTATGGCTTCTGATGGCCCATTTTCGCCTGGCTGAGCTCTCTAAATGGTTCATCATTTTGTCGAACAGAAAATCAATAAAAAATTCAAATCAATTCTAAGAAAAGTTTTATTGTTTTTCCAAGGTTTCATTTTGTTTAATAAATGTTTTTGATTTCTGCAATTGGCTGATAATCTATAGCGAATCCTATATATATTAAACATTTTTAACCACAAAATTGGGGTTATCTCGACTAGAAGATCATTAACAATAGAAAAGACTCTAAATTCAACGCCAATTGCTGAGAGAGGGTTGTATCATTAGCAATATAATTGATATTTCAAGATAGTGAAATAGTCTTTAAAGTCGTTTTTATAATTTACACAGATTACATGAAATATTTTTGTTATTTTTGCTGATTTTTCAAATTTAAAAACATTTTTCGTTTTGTCTGCGCTGCAGTTCTTCAACTTTTGGCCCACTGAAATTGGATGAGAGAATCAGAGACATGGGCTAAGTGCTAGCGGGGCAGCAAGAGATCAGGAGAGGAGAGATTCATGTTTGGTCGCATGTCTCTGCCAAGTTGTTGTTTTTGTTGTTGGTGCTGCTGTAGTTTTGTTAAATGACACATCCATAGCGCATTTAAAACAAGAATTTCAGTCCGTTTCCATTCGTTTGCTTTACTTTCGCTTCTAGCAGATTTCTTCTTCTACTTCTTTTTTTTTGATGGGATGCGAGCGTGTTAATACGTTATTAATAATATACACAAACAAATGGGGAGAATCTGTCTTTGCTGTCGGTTTGGATTTTATATTTTTAACGCAATTTTCCATATT